CAGATGGTAATTTAAAAATAGGATTTTATGTTATGTAACTATGATATGTGGGCAGACATTACACTCTCAAATCTGACAAAATATTTCTGAAGAGCTGATTTCAACGAAGTGTTTCCTCAAGTAAATCAACAATGATTTGGTTACATAAAGAAATGAACTGTAAACACAACCAACAAGGAACCCACTTGATGGTTAAAATAACAGCAAAACAAGTTTAGCACTGAAGTTTACAGAGAAAATCAGGTTTCACCAGTTGGCTGACAGGAAAAACAACACCACATAACTATAGCATTCATTCTGCTGCCCAACGTCAATCACTCGGATTTATCAGCCAATATAACTGTTCACTTTAAAGCTGTGAATTATTAGAGAAAATCTGCTCATTTGCACCTCAAGTCCCCACAGATGAGTTGCCAAAACACAGAAAAGCAAATATCACTTTCTGGAACTTTGCAATTGTAAACAAAACCCTGATTATTTTTTATTCTGATTGATTGTTTTTAGGTAAGTCGCCCCTGGGAACAGGGCCAACACAATCATATTTGTTCTTTGTGTGCGCGAGATCGAATTTATACCGCAGGGCACAGGGGTTAAATACAAGGAAACATTATTACACGGCTTCGATTGCGATACAATTCACAATTAATTGTAAATGAATGTGAACTTTCTACAGCAAAAAACTTACATTGCATGTGCCGCGGTGGATCACCATCACCATCTGTAGTTTTTCCTTGATCAGTTCGAATGTGCGACGAAGCTGAAAGATAACACAAATTAAACAATTATGTATTTATCTTCCCTGCGATCGCAACTTTTTGAAGTCTAAGCCACCATGAGAGTGGTATGATCGCTTCCAATACTTCCTTTGCCCTAAACAACTCTTGGAAAAATTTCTGAAAACGTAGGCTTATATCCTCAAAAAGTGGCTTCGGGCGTGAGCACAAAAAAGATTTGAACTTGTGGTTTCAAGGTCTGTTTGTCTAGTGACAAACAACTTACAAGTCGTCAAAGTGTTTTCCTCTTTTTCGGCAGAGCTGTTACATAACTAAACGAAGCTTAAATTCATTTTCGGACGTGCAGAAATGTAACAAAATTCAGCCTTAGTATAAATAAGGGATTCCCCGAAATCGACTTGCGTCGTAAAAATATATTTTGCGTGCAAACATCATCGGGCTTCGCTTTCACGCATCACGCTACTCCATATTTCCGCCGAAGCATACATAATTTTTTTTTTCGCAAAATCGCTGTCATAAGTGTCAAAAAAATTTTGTAAGAAACTAAACGCGAGATCATCATGAACTAAAGGTATAATAACTACCTCTTGATAAGCTTAACCTTGACCATAAATATCCACATTAAAAAAAAATCTTAACAGTTACTTCCACGTTTAATACAGTATCGTCAAGAGAATTTGCGAGCAACAGAAATCGCTTCAAGAAGAAGTGCTTTAGCGAGGACGTGTAGTTAAGAAACCATAATTCTTCAATATCCTCGTAGACTAATGTGAAAGACTGATTTGACTTGTTTACTTTAGGTCAGGCGCCTTAACTTACTCACCAATTGAAGTTGGAGGGTCCACTGCCAAAAACATACAATTCAACATGTACGGGTATGTCGTTTCCAGAACAACACAGAACTTCTTAAACTTCTCATAGTCTTTTCTCTGAATGACATCCAAAAGTCGGTCCACTCTTTGAGTAGGATGCTCGCTTTGAATCGCTTGAGCCTCGTCTGAAGTCACAACATTGCTGACAACTAAAGGCGAAAATAACCTCTCTACTGTAACTGCGCGGCGAAATTTGTCGCGATTTCGTTCGATTACTTTTTTGTAGCCTTCTTCCATGGCTTAAGTAGTAAATTCAAGAGAAAGCATCATAAACAACGCGTGTAGAAAGGCAGAATTTTTAAGTGTTTGCAAAATGCAGTCTCATCCGCCATGTTAGACGAGACTCTAATCTTTGTTGATCTGCATCCTCCAAATATGGAACGAAAAGGGACGCCGCGCACGTGATGTATTGGAACAATCACTATTGTCTGTCCCTAAGTGCAGCTGTTATTTAGCTGAACTTTGTTATGAAACTTCTGGCAGTGTTAGGAAACTTCGGCTGACGTAGGATATAAAAAAAACTTTAATTGTGCAGAATGAGGCCCGATTGGTAACCAGTCATCCTGATAATGGAAGACCTGAACTCACCGGAAACAACAATCAATAACAGTAATGGGTCACCAATCAACCTACCGGAAGTTGAGACTGTAATTTCACTTCCGCTCGACAGATTTCCTGAAACGTGACTCATGTAACTGCCGTGAGAGGACTGAGGAGAAGGCAAACTAGAAGGTGCAATCAACGTAAAATAGCACTTAAACATGTCAATGTTTACGATGATTCGGGAATGTTTATCCAGCAAAAGATGTCAAAGGGGTATCGTTTCCCTTCAGATGCCTTAAGTTCTTCGTTTGATCAGACGAACGAAAAGCGGTGGGGTGGGGTGGGGCGTGGTGGGGTGCGGTGCGGTTTTTGAAAGAAATGGTTAGGCGACACATCGAACCGCAAGGAGAACGATTCTGCCAAAGGAATTTTCATCTGGAAAATCCCCTCCTCGGTGTTAATAATAAAACTGTTGCTTCCAGCCTAATTTTAGCCTCATCGCTCAGCAGTGGCAATTCTGAGGGTTTCCTGTCCGACTCATTTTGTGCTTATCAGGTTGAAAACCGCACGGAAGTTGTCCCGACACCAGAGTCTCTTGTCGCAGTTAAAACAGTTTTGTACAATTGTAGATTTGTTATTTGTTTGGATGAAATTTTGGTCTGTACATGACCTTGCTGAATTTAAATTTAGCCTGCACGAATCCAGACGCTTCCAGGCTGTGCATTTATTTTCGTAGAAAAGCGGACCTCGTACCAAAACACTGTTATTCAACCGGGAATTGTGTGTTTCGTGTATAAACCGACCAGTGTTTCGTGAAAAGACCGACCTGGCACGCAGTTTTCCCCTTTTCAAGTGCATTATGGCAACGTTTGTGATCGAAATGATGCCCTTAGCGCGCATTGCCCAAAACGATTGGAAGAATTTTTAATTAGTAGGTGTTTTTTGTCGTAGAAGGGAATGGTGTGACAGCCCTGCAGCACGTTTCCAAGCTCGAACTTTAAAACGTTTCCTTCTTTGTGGAGTATTTATTGTCAATTTACATGACAACATCAAAACGAAAATGATTACTGAACCAATATCTCCATTCAATTTGAATAATTTTTCCCCTCGAAATCGAAAGGTCGATAGCCTTCTTCAAAAATGTCTTTCTTCACAGATTACAGACGAATCGCTTAGGTGTCATTTGTTACTTTTGGTTTCATAAACATAACCTGTATTCAGACATTTCCGGGCATATGGATGCTATTAGCTCTCAGATACAAACACAATTTAGGGAAACTTTCTTTTTTTTTCTTCAAGGGTTCCATTTATGGAAACATCTCATACTTTTTTTCTTTTGACGTAAATAGCTTTTATCTCCGAGTCACGTCCGCAATGAGAAATTAGCATATCTCTTTAAAGATCTGTGATTGAAAAAATAATTTTCCATATGAATAAAGAGGACAAAAGTGGTCTTCGGGAATGGTGACGTGGTTTCATACGTGGTTTCACGCGTGGTTTCACAGTGCTTTTAATTAGCCTTTAGCCTGCAGGTGCGAAAGATTTAGACCGACACGCGCGAGGAAGAAGTTACCTCGCGTGTCTGCTCTACCGCGTGCGTGTTCCTGAGAGATACTTTAACCTTTTACCCCTGAGTGACTGGCTTCTAATTTCTCCGTACATTATCATCCTTGAATCAAATATAAAAGTCATGAGAATAAAGGAAATGATCACCAACTGAAGAAACTCTTAATTGTTAGACAAATTCTTCTTGTATAGAGAATATGCATACTGATGTTCAGGAGTAAAATATTTCGGGATTTCAAGAGCTGTCTTTCATCCTAAGAATAATCTCAAAAGGAAGAATATCCCAAAAGCAACTGACATCACTTTCACTCTGGTTAGGGCTCTGGATTTTCGATTTCCCTTCCATTCTTTTCTTTTTTCGCCTTCTGTTACTATCTAGTAACGCGTGTTAGCTTTCAACCTCTTGTGGCAAAGAAACATAGCAAAATAGATTAGCTTTCAATTGAACATCTAAAGCGATCTTGGTTTTCTTTGGTTTTGCCTCTTCGCTCTGTGATTGGTCTACAAACCTCACGACACCATCTCAACCAATCAAATGCAAAACTTAAAAACCAATCCCAACTTGGTCACCGGCGTTTTCCCGCGCTTCAAGCTGGTTCGCGGTTTTTATTTCGAGTTCTCATTGGTTAACCCATTACACCCTAACATCAATAGACATATTCTCCATACATTTCCTAAGGTGCTGACAAAGAGAATTTGTTCAACAATCTAGAACTTCTATCGCAAGTGATCATTTCCTTTTTTCCTGTGACCTTTATGGGTGATTTAGGGGTGATACTGTGAGGAGAAATTAGATGCTGATCACTCTTAGGGTTGAAGGATTAATGATAACGTTAATCCTTGTTCTGATGGGTAGTTGTGGTTACTTTGGTTTTGTAACTCTTTACCTTTAAACTCCCAAGATCTGACTGTTAATTCTCCCCTCTAGCTGCAACACATTTGCTTGTAAATTGGTTACGCGAATTTGCTGTTCAATCAAGGCAATAACTTGTTTCATATTTACACATGACAGTGACCAACTCGAAAGCTCATTGGCTACTTCGGTCACTGCACACGAATAAATATTCTTTCTTCAAGTTAATTTCTGTTTGTATTTTTTCCACATCATTGTAAATCCTGTTATGTTAAGTTATTTTTTTCTGTAAACAAGTGTGAAATAACAAAACTTGGAAACTTGTGCCTGATGAGTTTGAATACCCTCGCCACCTGTTAAAGTGTCACCTGTTAAAAGTTACATGTTAATCACTTTTGGGAGGCATGGGGTTAATGTCAATTATGACGAAAGTAGAGTACAGACAGTTTATTTTCGTATTCTAAATTTTGAATACCATTTTATGTACGCTATCTTAGCTAAGAGCCATATCCGGCTGTTGGTTTAATCTGAAAAATAGGAAAACCTAAGCAAAATTATAAACAAATCTGTCATATTTCTTGAGCAGATTCTCCACTTAACAGCGCTACGTTCTCAGGGAAACCAGAACCTCACAACTTCCGAAATGATTCCCCTCAAATATCCTTAAATTTGCTTGGCAAAAACTAGTCACAATCTAAACTCACTATTTGCTTTTCATAGGCCGTGTGGCAACCAAGTCTACAAGAGAGTTTCCGAGGACGTTTCTGATCGGATAATGGCGATAGTTAGAAATTTTCCGAAAACTTACTGTGTTTAACGAAGCATACTAGATTTTCTAAATTGAGGTAGCCCTGTCTACGTCCAACTAAATTCTTTAGAAACAGTTTGTGATGACAGCAAATACAAATTCAGCAGGCAAACAATCAGACAGCAGACACACCTCACAGAACTTATGCTTGCTAAGTTACACTAACGTTTTTCTGCGAGGAACAAAGAAAGGGATAAAATCAAAACTACGATAAAATCGCAAAGAAAACAAAAAGCCAAATGATCCTCCATTATGGCAAAAAAATGCCTGGTGAGTCACGCAACACTTCATTGCGTGACAGTCCACTACATGAAGACTGCGACGTCTTAAAACTTAAAAATATCTTAAACCTAGCCACGTCTTATCGACTTAAAACTGCAAACGCTGAAATATTCAGGACTGAGATAAGAATTAACGTATTCAAAGGATGGTAAAACATGCTTCGCATGATGAATGAAATGAATTAAAACTACTTAACACAAGCTGGAATATCTTGCTTATGGCTGCAGTTTAAAAATCTCTCTCTAACGAGATTTTGAATTCTCAACAATTCCTTTTTCATACACAAAACTTTACAACAAGGCGCTTTGAATATTAAATCTGAAAGAACTCTTATCACCAGAGGCGGAGATTTTTCCTCTTTTATCTGTGCATTTGACTCTTAAGTCTTTACCAAACCACTGTCCCTTATTAATTCATAACCTATCACGTAAATGTATTTCACGTCTTGCTCCGTTACTCATTAAATCATCTCTTCAGATTTCGGTTTCTTCTGCTCCGTTTTCAACTGTGCCATCTTTGTCGCTGGTGAGGAAATCTAGGACACCTTTATCATTCGCGAAAAAATCCTGCAGCAATTTTTCTCTGTCTTCCGTCACTTCGTTGCCATCTTCAATAATTTTCTGGGTTTCTTCGATAACATTGCCATCTTCGTCCACGACTCTGTGTTTCTCTACGACAATCACAGACTCTTCTATAATTGGCTCGGGTGAACTTTCCACTGTTATGGTTCTCACTTCTGAGAACACCTCTTCCCCGTCAACTGAAGCGCGCTGCAGACGAGGCGAGCCAATCTCGTCACCGCCAAACATGTCGTCAGATTCACCCACTGAGTCCAGGAACTCAGAAATTCTGCGGTTACCTGGGGCCGAGCTCTGTGTAGACACTTTGCTTGGGGAAAAATGGCGCGTTTCCACGACAACTACAGGGTCTTTGGAGTAGCTGCTGTAGGCAAGTTGTTTGAAGTTATCAGCGATATCACTTCGTCCCGTATCACGCAGAGCTTTCTCGAGGGACGCCATGCTAGCTTCGGAGTCTTCCTTATCTCTCCAAGTCTTCATAACATCAGTGGCGCACTCGATGGGCGAAGAAGAACTAAAAAAAACATACCAAAAAAAAAAGATACCGTCTTGAAATTTAACCCTTCTACTATAGGGGAGGCAAGTTTATAAAGAAACTGTGGTGCCGTTTTACGAATTGAGTTGCTTATGTGAATTGGCCACCTGACTATTCGCACGTTAGCCCCTCGTCAGAGCGAAACACGATTGCTCGAAAAGCCAGCTTATGAACCTTTCTTCGGTGGCTGAATGACATTTGCATCTCATTTCATCTCATTATTCCATAAATTATACAGTAAACAGATACTGAGAATCAACAAACCCATCAGCTAAGAGGTTTCATCTTGATAAAACATCAAATTCTTGCAAATAATCGACCAGGAAATTCATAAAAAAAGAGAGGAGGATTTCCAACCACAAAGAAGAAAATCAATGTAGGAAATAATCTTTTGAATCGCTGCTAACTTACTTTCTGTCGGAAATTTCTTGCAGTTCTGAATCTGTCAACCCTAACTGCTGCCCAAGTGCAACCCAGTCTGGTCCAACATTTTTGCCGATCAATGCCAACAATTCATCTAGGAAGTAACAAACACAACAACTTAGGTGCATCAGCCACGTTTTCTTCTGCTTCAAACAAATCACTACGACCTGGAAAAAAGAGGACTTGGGCGTCGCTACGTACCAGCTATGCGGCCAGGTCGCTAAGCAAGATGGAAAATGGCGGTGTCCGTAGTTAAATTTTCAGCACATTTTGAGGAAATTTTCGAAAGGTTAGGTTCCTCTTTGAAATCTCAAAACGCGGTCAATTTAATGATATCAAAAATACTTTTAAAAAGGGGGGAATGAAGAGAAGGTTTCAAGGTTCTTCTTTAATGCGGGTTACATAATTTCCCACGCTTGACGCAGATGACATGTTTTCCCGCGCTTAACGCAGATGACACAGTTTTTCCCGCGTTCACCACACATGACATCTCCTTCACTCATAAAATTAACGGTCTAATTTCCTTCTCTGTGTGAACATGTTTGCAGTGATAACTTTCTGTTAAACAAAATCCTTACCAGGAAGCCACGCAGCATCACTTTTCTTCAAGTTCTGAAAGAAATATGAACAACATTTTAACATAGATGCGGGTTGCCAGACACGCACATTCATTTAACTGAAGAATTTAAGGAAAATTTTAATGGAGTCTTCAAAGTTATCAAGGACAACACTGAATCCACTTCACTTCACTCTTTAATTGGTGTGGAAACAAAAAAATCACACCTATCTTGGCTCAAGCAATAAAATCTAAAAGAGAACCAACCGAGTTTCTCGAGCTTTTTGCCCAAAACAGGTATTTTTTTTTTTGACAACGTTCAGTTGGATCCATTTTCGTTTAAAAGGCTAGACTACAATCTTCGTAAATTGAGGAGTAAAAGAAATAACATATTAAATTGAATACGTCATTTTGAAATAAATAAAAGCTTTGAACAGTCTCGAACGAAAAATCTAAGATAACAAAAGATTGTAGAACCCAACAAAAATAAGAGCGTCTACGTCAACATCAAATTCAAGCATCCATTTTGACCTCAGATTCAAGTTCAAAATCTCTAGACGTGATTAGTTAAATGAAATCACGTGCACCGTGCGTGAATTAAAAAGCACTTCAGATTCAAGTACAAGGTCTCTGGACGTGATTGGTTAAATAATATCAGGTGCATCACGAAGTATTAAAAAATATAGATCAAGAGCGAAGGTAAGAGAAAAGCGTTTTTTGCAATATTACATTCAAGAAAATTTCGACAAAGTTATCGGTCTGTTATTTGATGTCTCACCTCCTCAGATAAGTCGATGCTCAAATTACAGATGGTGCGCACGTTTCCTTGGCGATCTTTACGAGGTTCTTTGAGGAATGCCAGCCGACATGTGAAGGGCTGGGACGGGTCGGTCACGCGCACAGTCACAGCAAGGCGGTTCTCACGGAAAGGAGAAAACGTGATTTGTAGAGGCTCACGGGTAACAGGAGTCAAATTTCCTACACACCTGAAGTTATAAAGAGTGGCGTTAAAAAAGTGATGTATAGCAATCATCACGAGCATAGCATTAAGGAACATCTGGGTGTCCTGTGGAGATTTGGGCTCCAGCATTCCGATTGGCAGCCGAATATTCTACCAAGCTAGCTAAAGGGAACTCGTAGGCGAGTAACGCTAAATACCGAGTTCATACGAATGACAACGCGTTATGAAAACACAGCAGTCCCACGAGAGGCATGCGCAGTAAGGTCAAGTTTGGCCAGCCGCGCGCAAATTTCCCGTGCAAAGTTATTGAAGAAAATGTTAAAGAAGCCGTTGTCATTAAAATTTAGGAAAATTTTGAAACGTTAAAAGAAATCTGTAAAAAGAAATCAAAAAAGGGAAAAAGGAAAACTTCCTTTTCGAACCCATTCTGTTTCTGATTTAATCAAAGAAATTATACCTTTAAAAACGAACCGCTGGTTTGAAAGTTTGCTTAGCCCAAAGGCTTAATAATAGCTTGAGGACAGGCTACCAGGCTGTCAGAACCAATTCGTCTTTCAGAAGTTATAAACAAAATCGTAAAAAAAAAAAAACAACAACAAAAAAAACCCGTTCGCAAAGGGGCGAGTTTTCCTTTTCCCCTACTTTTGTTTAATTTTATACATTTCTATTTTTCACGCACAGTTTGAGTGCAAATGGTTAATTTGTATGTTTTCCTTAGAAATTTTGCGCGGAAAATTGGTGCACGGCCGCCCAGGCCGCTGTGTTGTTAACAACTGACTGACCGCCCACCTGACGTGCACTGGTCTTCCCTCGCAAACTTCCACATCACGACTGCGGGCCACTTCCACGAAACCAGTCTGGCGCTCAAGTGTTTTGTCGATGTTATCATCCGTAATGCAGAAAATTCTCAAACGGGCTTCTGTCCCTTCGGGGTTAACTTTGGCAAATACGACAATTTTTACTAAGAAAGGTACAGCGGTTAACTTGCGGTACAACAGGCGCGCATCTGACGTCACGTTGTCTGGGTTACGGGTTTCTACAAGCCAGTACCTGTGGGAAATAAAACGTTAAATCACTAAACAAAAATAAAGTCTTAACAGACAAAATTTATTTGCTACGAAACTCAAACATTTCTTTACTGGAAATGAAGAACATGTTATTTTACCTTAAAGCGTTTAACAAGTGAGAAAATTTTCACGTCACAGGGAGGGTAATGCTATTTGTTTGGCTGGGGGAAGGGGTAGGTAATCTTGCCCTAAGGAACCTTACCTTGCGGGGCGACTTGTTGTAAAACTAGCGTACTCCTTCACCACGGTCAGTGGCGTGTTATCAGTGATGTCATACCACTGGTACGTGGGGGCATGGGACATAGACTTCCTGTTATCCCGTGGCTCACACGTGAGTAACCTCAAAGAAGGCTGCATATCGAAAGTCTCTCCACCAGGGCTGTAGAGTGGGGTGGGGATAATAACTGTCACAGGTTTGGAGAACTTAAGGTCCTGTGGCTCTATTGTAAGCACAGGGCTCACAGCCACCCAGTCTTCGAAGTCGTTAAAGGATTCATCCGCTGGCTGAACCTAAAATGGTAGAGAAATGATTGGGATTTTTGCTGGAAAAATTTAAACGAGATCGGAAATGGTGATAAACAAACTCGCAATAGAATTTTTGCGGGGGAAATGGCCTCTGTGGTTTTGAACAGAGAAGAGAAAGGGGTCTTGAAACAAATACCAACACAACATTTCCGTACAGGAAAAATCGAAGAAAAAACGTCAAGCTTACGAAACTCCAAAGAAGAAAAATCCAATTTAAGTGACTCAAATAATTAAAAAATACACCTCGCTCCTAAGAAGATTGAAAAGGAACACATAAACACGTTCTGTGGATGATTTCAACCTAGAAGTAACACTGGTCGTCTAGTCTGATCGTCCAGTTAAAGGGAGTCCGGAAAGAGACTGGTGTCGACAACCTTGGCGGAAGTCAATATCAGAGTCGACTCTGATAATGACTTCCGCCACGATTGTCGAAAAGTCAGTCACATGTACCGACAACAGTCCTTCTCAGAAGTACCCTCACCCAGACGATCATAATACCGGATTAAAAAACTGTACAGTTTACCCTCACAAATTGAATATTTTACCTGACGGTTAAAGAATTTCAAACAGTTTGTCATGTTTTAACCGTACCTCGTGAACAGTGATATTAAACAAAAGAAGACTTTCTTTTGCACTGACCTGCAAGGTTATCTTTGTCCCATTTGACACAGCCCCCTCAGGAACCTTCACTTGTACTTCGGGATGGGCCGAACATTTAAGGATTTCGCCTCGAGAACCAACGACGAAGCTTTCTTTTTTCAGTCTCGACATGATGCAGAACTTCTCCGGGAAGTCCTGGGTCTCAATGCGCGCATATCTCTTGCTGGGCAAGAAGCCTTGATGAATGTTCATGTCTGAGCTGTAACCATCCATGGCTAAAACGAGTCACAGTGGTATATTTAACTCTAAAACTTGGAACGGCAAATATCAGGAAATGGAAAGCGCGGGAAATGGAGACCGCGTGCAGGAAAAAAACCGATGGTTGTCAAAAAAAGGGCGGGAAATCACGAGATTGACTGAAAAACAATGGGTGAAGGATACAAAAAAGCGTCAAAGAGAGACTGGAAACTGATAGCGAGGGCAAATTAAGTGCGGCGCGAGGGAATGGGGCTCTCGCCCCATGCCCTCACGCGGCTCCCGCCTCTTCTACTTAGATAAGAGGAAACAGAGAGGCCATGAAATGTTACACGTACCTTTCATGTCTTCAACACACACTTCATCCCAATTCCATCCTCCGTCTTGAGTTCTCAGTACAACTAGTTCTCTCTCTCCGTTCCTGAGCGCAGAGAAGTGCGGTAACTCGAGATATATCGGCTGAAGAAACTTCACACCTGATGGATTCACATCCAGAACGCGACAGGCCAATGCCTCACCCTCCATTAGTGGGGGCAGCAGAGAAGGCTTGTTCGGTCTTGAAAATGAACATACAAATGAAAATTAAACAAAAAAGGAAAAAAATTAATAATTTCAGTGGAATTCACAAAACTCGGGAAAAAGAATTTAGAAATGAATCATCGCAGACCGAAAGAGCGATTTTAATTCATATTTTTTAATTTAAATAAAACTCACAAACATTGTATGAATACTGAAAGAAAGGATATTAGATATATGAAAATTCACATATTTGCACTGCGGTGGAAAGATGAAATTAGGAGATCCTCGCAGCTAAGAACACTACTGAAACGAGTAGTTGTAAATAGGACCTGAAAAAAATTTTTTTTTTCCAGGCCCGTACGGGATTTGAACCCATGACCTCTGCGATACCGGTGCAGCGCTCTACTCCTCGAAAGAGAAGTTACTGGCTGGCAAGAAAGTCCCTGAAGTGCAAAATCACTTTTAGTTCGTAGCAACAATTCAGCTGGGAACTGAAAACTGACGGTATAACGAACCAAAAACTAAGAAAAAACAAAGTTTAGGCCGATTGTAGAAGACAAATTTTTAAAATATATGGTGTAATATCTTAGGGTATATGTAACATTTCTTGCCAGGAAGGCATTGCGTGACAGCCCAGACATGCGTAAAGCTTCTACCCACGAAATCATCTTATGACAGTATTGTGTGACAGCTCCACTCACCGTAGCTGTTTGCAAGTGATTCTAGTCGGCATCTGGCATGATCTTGGCGGCAGAGTGATTTTCAGTCCTGTTTGAGAGCTCTCCATTTTGCCTCCTTTCGCGTCAACCAAGAAACTCACTAGGAAATCTCCCGTTACTAGGGGCTCATACTTCGGTACATTATCATCGGCCATGTCCGCCAAACTTGAGGGAAGTTCCGACTCTGTCACGATCATTTCCGAAGTCGTTATGCTCTCCGATACGTTAAAGTCGGATAAACGAGAGTGATCTAAGTCTGACGCTCTGGAGCCGGTCGGGGTTCCCTCGAGGAAGGCTCCAGAATAACGAGAGGAGCTGAAAATTCCGGAGTCTCTGTGCGCCAGTCCTGGCGAGCGGTGATCATCTTCTACCATGTCTTCCATTGTCATGTAGCGGTCGATTGATTCTTCAGTAATTGATGGATCTGCACAGGATACCATTTATCAGTGAAATTTTAAGAGGATTCCCCAAAATGCTAGGTCCTACAGCCTGTGTCGCTGATATTTTAAAAGGGAGGGGAGGGAGGGGAGGGAGGGGAGGGAGGGGAGGGAGGGGAGGGAGGGGGCACAATAACGGCGCACACTGTCATCAAGAGCGCAAGAAACACGCGCAGGAGAGGGAGTTAAACCTGGATTTGGCGCGCATGACTTCTTGCTCTCGCGTGTTAGTCTCAATCACGCAAAAAACAAAGAAGGCACTACTGACCTTCTTCAACAAGCTCCAGAGCTTCGAGGACTTCCTCTTCCTCCAGCTCTTCGGGTTCTGCGCTAAAGACGATATCAGGTTCCTCTTCTTCTTCGCCATCTGCTTCATCTCCTTCTTGTCCCTGGGAAAAAAAATAAATAAATAAAAGAAGAATTTGTGTTTGTAGCGCAACGTTACAATAGAGGATATGTCACTCAAGGTAAATGTCATGCAAAGCAAACTTAACTAGTTTGATAATATGAGCTTACAGCACGCGATTGTCGAATGGGAAAGCTTTTTCCTGTAACTATTCGTGGTACGATTAGTTCGTAAGTTTCCTGGTTTATTGAAATACAAGATCAGTGGAAGGCAACTAAATTTTTAATTTCAAGTAAAAAATTATATCGACGCTCAAGCTACGGAAATGACAATCGAGTCAACTGAAGAGGTGTTTTCCTCTGGCTGCGGCGTAAAAGTATGTTGTCTAACAATTAGATGCTCATTAAAATCTTCCAAATGTAAGGAAACATATCCTTAGCATGGTTTTACGCACAAAATTTTGAAACTGGCCATTTATAGATTAAAAAATGGTGGCCAGACGAAAAATTCAGTCGCCAAAAAAAAAATAAATATGGCACTTTCTGCAATATCACTCATTATTCTATGCACATTCATTACATAACTCACCGGTCTTCGCCTTAATCTAATTGTCTGCGTGACTACCGTAACTTCAGACAGTCTTTCTGTGATAAAAGTGCTCAGATGAACTCGCTGGGAGATGTAAAGTGCTGTGTAACCCTCCTGCAAAATGGACAAAGAAGAAGAAAACATAAACAAAGCATTTTACGGTCACTAGCCTGTTCCGGGTGTTTTGAAACTGCACGGGCGCGATTGTGTCAGGCAGCAGAGAAATGAAGAGAACTAGGTCGAGTCCCAAACCTCGCTCCCCTAGGTTTGTCACGCCCGATAACTTTGCGCCTCGTTTACATATTGAATTGGCTGTTTGATCACCTACAAAATAATGGTATCCCTATGCATGAACAACCCCAATAGATTTCTTCATGGTCATCCTGCGAAGTCGGTGAACACATTTGATGGACAAGGTGCCATGACATTCTTTGCAACTGTTGGAAGGTGCATTGACCGCAACAGCGGTTACATGTCTCATGCTGTCTTGCCCGAATAAACAACTCTATAACCCAGTCACTCATACCCAGACCTCTCGGACGGCTACCGTGACTTCTGATCTACGACGAGCAGTCTCTTAAAGAATGTTGCTAAAATGGTTGGTTTTTTTTTCTGTAATCAATACTCACATTAGTCAGTGCGTTCGGATTGGCTCCACGTTCCAAAAGCAGCTCAATAATCAGTTTGTGGCCATACTGTGCAGCCAGGTGCAGTGCTGTGTAACCATACTTTGTTTTGCTTTCAATCTCCGCTCCTGCTTCAATTAACAGCCTGGCCAGCTCAAAATGGCCATACACACAGGCGATGTGCAACGGCGTAAAACCACTCTGATGACAAGAGAAACATGGAAGAAAAACAAGAACATAATTTTTTTTGGCTGAAACAAAATCTAAATCCCATTCAGACTAGTTTCGGCGAAGTTGGCCAGAAGTATGCTTCACCTCTTTAAATCCTTAACTACCTGGATTTGATCACTAATTCTTCCCACTAGTTGTTATAAATTTCTTTATAAATCAGTTTTTAAATCAGAATTTGGTTTAAGATCAACGTAACAACTTCTGTCTGATAAGTCTGAGTATTCTACATAACTCTTCGTGGATAATGTATGGATGTATGGATGGGAGAAGTTAAATGTTCATCACTTCGGGAAGTTAACGGGTTAACAGTTTTGTGGAAAATTTTTTGTCAGTTTCACACACATGAGCGTGAAAATTAAATCAACTTTGCTAGGAGACGCCTGAAAGCTTTCTGAAGAAAGATGGAAAATGAGGAAGCAAGGGAGGATGGAGGAATGAAGGAGAGAGCAAGATAGAGGATTGAGGATTGAGGAAGAAGGGAGGAGGAAGGAGCAAAGAAGGAAGGAAGAGGGAGGAGGGAGGAGAGAAGGAGGAAGGAAGAGGGAGCAAAGAAGGAATGAGGAAAGAATAGGGAGGAGGGAGGAAAGAAGGAAGGAGGATGGAGGAGAGTGAAAGGAAGGAGGAAAAGGGAGGAGGAAAGAGGAAAGAAGGAGGAAGGAGGAAGGAAGAAGGAGGAAGGAGGAAGGAAGAGGGAGGAGGAAGGTAGAAGGTAGAAGGAGGAAGGTGGAAGGAGGAAGGGGGAAGGAAGAAGGAGGAAGGAAGAAGGAAGAGGGAGGAGGAAGGAGGAAGGAGGAAGGAGGAAGGAGGAAGGAGGAAGGAGGAAGGAGGAAGGAGGAAGGAGGAAGGAGGAAGTGGATATCTGTTACATACCACAGTCTGTGCGTTTATCGGCGCATTGTGCTTCAGCAGAAGTTTCGCCACATCAATCCTGTTTTCTCTTGCTGTCAGATGCAGAGGAGTGAGTCCATTCTAAAACAATCAAAATAAAACAACATCACTCCTTATTCCAACAAGCACCGAGGCTTTGCTCACTGTTAAGTTGGTCTTCTTCACATTAACTGACCCCTTTTCACTTACAAGATCATGCTAAATCAATTCTCCACACTGTCTGTCATACAGTTATTATGATTTTAGCACGGAGGATTTAGTCTTTAATCAAAACAGAGTCCTCTAGTTGATGTTTTCACCAGCATCTCCCCAGTAAGCTCTAGTACCAGTCTCTCGTCGATCTTATGATCCAATATGGTGGCTTCATCGCTCGATCAGAACATTGAGCACTCCCTAAAAATTCGCCAGTTTTTCGGGGCGAAACCTTTAATTTCTTGTGACTAATGATGTCGTTACTTACATTAGTGGTGAGGCCAGGTGACGCTCCATTCTCCACCAAATGTTCGCACAGCTCCACATGTCCTTCCTTGGCGGCTAAATGTAACGGACTGATGCCAGTCTGTGGAACACACAAAAGAAAAACAAAAGATTTTAAAACTTAGACATAAGTTTTAAAGCCAATCTCTTGAATTCCAACAGTATTCTAGAACGGCCATGAATAAACCTCAAGTAAAGTACCTTAAGTAAAACGATGCGCGATTATAAACGGGGCGATAGTAAATGAGGAATGAAAAAGACGAGGGAAGTTTAGGTCGAGTCGCGTATTGAGACGACTCGACCCAAGCCTCCCTCGTTTTCTCTCTGCCGCTAGCATCGCGCCGTGTATTATTTCGTTCAGTTTTAATAACTATACGCCTGGAACAGGTGATGTCGAAAGCCTCGAGTGAGTTATTTGAAATGTGGTGCATTCTTAGCTCTGTATTAGAGAGAACAAAGATGTTATCCGTCTTGTTATGAAGGTGAGATGGTGGAAAAAAAAAACAAAAAAAAAAAAACCGTGAACCTTCTGACAAAGTTGGAGCTTGTTACCTGTGTTACGACATTAGGGTCCATTCCACGTCTCAACAGTATCAGAACGATGTCTATTCTATTTTTCTTGGCTCCAATATGCAGAGGAGTAAATCCATTCTATGAAACAGCGAAAAAAATAGATAGCAACAAATTAAACTGAATCTGCATACAATGTAGTTAAGTTTGCAGTAAAATTGGCCATGCTCATATAAACACGTATTAAGATTATTTTGATGGATCAATTTTCAACTGTGTCAAAAGTAATCCGGAATTGCATTGGTTTCGCTTTACTTTGCTCTGTGATTGGTCCAGAAAACTCGTACTACTTTCTCAACCAATCAGATGCAAGACTAACACCAACTACGACTTGGTCGCACGCGTTTTCCCGCGCTTAGGAAGTTGGGTTGGTTTTACTTGGAGTTCTGATTGGCTCTTAAAATATTTTCCTTTCTCTGGTTGATTATTGGGATTTACTCTAGTTTTGATTTCACGACACTTAATCGAAAAACGCTCAATGCTCAAGGTATTTATGAAAACACAACCACATCAACCGAAAAGAAAGATTATATGGCTTCTTGTGATAAAACAGTTATATAAATTAGGAAAATGAAGGCTTTCCTTACCTTTGCCATGGCGTTAGGATTGGCATTGTTATCCAAAAGGAAAGTGGCAACTTTATCGTGGTTGTAGTGAGTTGCTACATGTAGAGGTGTGAGTCCATGCTGCAGAAAGGACAAAATTTATCAATAACAAAACTAAGTTTCCCATGGACAGACCTGCTAAATATCACCTGGACAATTTCCTCGTAAAGTTGTGGTCAGCTACCTGAGATAACTAGGAGCTCTCAACTCTTAACAGCCAGCGCCTAAATGGAGGCTACTCCTAAGGCTGGCGCGGGCTGGCAATCTGTCCGCGAGCCCCCACACGAAAAGGAGGGAGAGCAAGCATCTCACACTCTGATAACATAGCGGAAAGGGGAAGGAAAATGGGGAGCAGTCTGCCAGAAGAGTTGCCATGCTCAGGAAACACCACCTTAGCACCAACGCTCAAAACTTTCCAGCTCAAGAGTGCTTAGATCCTGGTACATCTAAGTACCCCTGATTGTAAAGAAAAGAAAATAGCCCCTGGTTCTTAATTACCTTAAGTTGCAATTAATTGCATTATACACAAAAATAATCTTTCACTCACCTTTCCTTCTGGGTCAGGGCTGTCATAGCTCTTTAGTAGGATTTCCACAATTCTAACATGGCCATTTCTGGCAGCTTCATGAAGAGGAGTAAATCCTTTCTGTAACAAAAAGAAAAGTGAGGATAATCTTGTGAGACAAAATCGTACACTTTAAGGGCATTTTTTTGGTACAGAGTAAAAATAATTTTGGACCAGTCACAGGTGGGCATTGGTTTTATTTCACCTGATTGGTCTAGCACATTTTAAAATCCCTATTTACCAATCAAAGGCAAACAAGAACCAATTCACCTCTCACGGAAGTAAGTTTCTAAAGAAACTGTGGTCCTGTGTCACTATGGGTATTGCAAGAAAATTTGGCTTTGTCTATGGAGTTGGTTATGAAAATTGGCTACTCGCTTCAACAAGGGGCTAATGCTCAAAACACAATCCTTGAAAAATCTCAACAGTGGCAATTTACGATATCATTTCAGTTTTTGCAACCAAATTATCTATCAACTGCTTCAATGGTTTTAGGTACATACCTTGGACAGCTCAGTTACTGAAGCATTATGCTCCAAAAGAATCTGAACAAGTTCCTCATTTCCATCCCTGGCCGCAATGTGCAAAGGTGTGCACTTGTTCTTAATGATGAAATAAAAAAAAAATTGCAATCCATTTGTCTGCTATCTTAACTATTGATAGTATTTCACTCCCAAGATCTAAAAACTACATCTCCTAACTGACCAACATGCATTTCTCTTTTGGCCAGTGCTGAGAATCTGGTATTGAATCAAACAATATCCTTAGCATTAACGTTTTTTGGATTCAATCCAATAGTCTTGACCCTTTACACCCTAACATCACTATGCTTATTCTCCATACTGTTCTTGTGCATTTTCTACATGGCCGACAAGGAGAATTTGTTTAACAATCAAGAGCTTCTTTAGTTGGTGATTACTTTCTTCTTGCGACCTTAATGTTTGATTTCACTGTGATTTTGTAACAATAAAATTAGATGTTAGTTACTCTTAACCCTTTAACTCCCTTGAGTGACCAAGACAGAATTTCTCCTTACAATATCAATACAATATCAAGCAGGCAGGTGATGAGAATAGAGAAGAATTTCAACCATGGGATTATTAGTTGATCTAATACCAAATTCTCTGAACTAACATCATAAGAATTGTATGGAAGATAGTAAGGAGAATTACTAATCAGATCTTGAGAGTGAAAGGGTTGAAAGGGTTGAGTACTGTTTGCTCATTTTGGAATGAAAAAGTACATTCAACAGTCTTTCCTTCAGCTGATTGTCAATTTTTTAAAAAATATTCCTAGAACTCTGATGTCTCTTACCACAAATGTTTATGATGGCTTATGATGTTGGCACCATTTGCATCAAGGAGGTAAGTTACTAAAGAAACTGTGGTGCTGTGGTGCAGTGTCAGTGGGGGGGGGGGGGTATAGCAGGGTAATTTGGTTTTATCAACTGAGTCAATAAGGTGAATTGGCCATTGTAAAGATTTTCTTAACTGATGTTTTCAGCATTAGCCCTCTGTCAGAGTAAATGACTAGTGCTAATGCTCAAAATATCAACTTTGAAGCTCTTTATGGTGGCTAATTTATAATATTAACTTAGTTGATAAAACCAAATCATCTTGGCACCATTTTAGTTTAGCAGTGTTTGTACCTTATCTATGGCATCTGGAGAAGCCCCATGATCCAGAAGAAGATTGACCATCTCAACATTCTTTGTTCTAACAGCGATGTGTAATGGAGTTTCACGGTCCTAAAAATTACAAACAGAGCAGCAAATTAGCCAAAAAAAGAAAATTAGGATGTAAGGTAATATCATGCACCTAAATCTGCAAAACATCAAACAAATTCTCACCTGGGTCTTGGCATCAACTGATGCACCATTCCTCAATAGAAGCCTCACAATTGTTATCTCTCGTCTGCGGCAGGCAATATGGAGGGCAGTTTCACCTCTCTGTTAAACAAGAGCAATAAACTTTGCTTAATGGAAAAACTTCCATTTTATTTAGCAGAAGTTTCAAAAAGATCACAACATAAATGAATAAAAAATAAAAAGTTTCATTGTGACCCACGAAAAAATCCGAACTTAAGTTGTTTTACCATTTAACCCCTAAGAGTGACTGGCATCTAATTTATCCTCACCATATCACCCCTGAATCAAAATTAGGGTCAGGAGAATAAAGGAGCTGATCATCCACTAAAGAAGCTCTTGATTGTTAGACAAATTCTCCATGTTGGCATCTTGGGAAATGTTTAGTGAACAGTATGGAGAATATGCATACTGATTCTGGGGTTTTAAGGGTTAAAAGCAAACCTTAAAATGTGGAAAAACAAACAAAGCTTCAATTGTTCAGAGCAGTCACTTTGTTGCTCCACATTCCATTGCATTTTTTCTCTGTTCTGCAGTACAATACCATGACATATTGTGCATGTTTAATACCCTCATATTGCAACATGGCATCAAAGGGGAGTAACAATGCTAGTTACATGTACCGAGGACAAAGGAGCACAAATATTTAACTAGTTTAAAATCATTTTGACCTGTGACTCATTTTAAACTACAACAGATTATATAAAAACATCATATTCATTTAAGTGTTAACTCTTCACATTAGTTGGTTCAATAAGTACCATTCTAGTCTGATATTTTATCAGAAATTTTAATTCTTTCTGCCAGTTTTGAAGAATGCTGTAAATTCAAGTCATAACATTCCAATTTTCAAAAAATTTCTATTTACAACAGAAACTTGAGGAAAAAATTTCATTAAATATTGAAAGCTATAATATACGGTGTCAGGTATATAATATAACACAAAAAAAAAGCACTTCAGTGAACAAAGGTTATGCTAATGAAATAATGTTGCAAATGAAGCCATGTGTTCTTTTGTTCAATTGAACAATAGATTTTATATTGGACTAAGTTTAAACCCAGGTAGAATATTCAAGAAGTGTTAACCACAAATAACATAGCCATAACCAAAAAGAAAAAGCAAAAAACATTCAGAATTCTTATTTTGAAATACATAGAGACTTACCACATTGGTAATATCAGGAGAACCCCCATGTTGCAGAAGGATGAGAACTAAAGTTACATTTCCATAGTATGTTGCCACGTGCATGGGAGTTTGGCCACCCTGGAGGGAAATAAATAAAGAAACATGATTTTTCCATTCTAAATTAAATACAAAATGTATGCTACACTGAGAAAATTATATTATTGACTCTTCAGAAAAAGTGCCCTCAGGCTATAGTCATAAACAGCAGTTGTTTTCACGACTCTCTTGCCAAGGGAATCGAACAATGTGATTGCCTGTTTTTTCTAGCAAATGAGTATATCAGCAAATGAACTATTCTGGAGTAATTTCAACTGGTGCAGCAGAGAAAACTTCAAATTAATTTTTACTTTCGATTTCCTGATAAGAGAAACATTGCGGTAAAAAAAGTATTCAAAAGTCCATCATGGCCCATTTGTTCAAAGGACATACAACACCATGTAGATAAATTGCTATCCAGTTGATAAGTGTTGACAAAACAAACTGTGCTATCCTGTAGACAAAGATTTATCTTATGGATATCACTATTCATCCTTCACCATCATCAGAAAGATGAACAATGTGCTTCACTCCATAGAGTCTGTTTTAAAAAGTCAATTGAAAATATAATGTAACCAAAATTGTACTCCTGGTAACTAAAGAAAGTCTAGTTTTTTGTACAGTGAAATTTCCTTGCTAATTTATCAGAGCTGATTTGTCAGTATTTATGAAGAAAGACGCTTTTTTGTTTTGTCTTAAGCAACAACAACAACAGAATTAAAAACCCATACCCTCTGATTTTGCCCTCTAATGCACAACCATCAAGTTACAAAGATTTCTATGATAACTTAACCCATTACTTTGTTCATATGTGACAAATGTCCTGCATATTACAACAACGTCAAAAGCATTTTGTGGATTCAAAATTCATCTTCGTCCCTACTCTATTAAGAATACAAGATTATGTTTGCAACATTTATTTCTTTTAACAAAAATTACCTCATTAGCAGAGTGGACATTTGCACCGTACTTCAACAGCAACTGAATAACCTGTTCACGATTCTTCTTGCATGCCACATGAAGAGGAGTAAATCCATTCTAAAGAGAAAATTCAACACAGTGACCATCAAAGCTATTGGTTTATTGTTTTGTGTTTGGAAAAGAATTCCATCCCTTTTCACCATAAAATCTCACATCCTCAATTAACAAAAATGTCATTTTTGATAATTCAAGGCACAGCACACAACAAAATAGTAACTCAAAACGATGTTGAAACAACTAACATGCTTTTTACTGTATTTGAGAGTGAAAAAAAAACTTTGGAAGACAAAAAAGAACTCACTCAAATTATCAGAAAAGTTAATATATGCCTTGGATGACAATTGTTATAGTAAATTTTGAGAAGCATCTGTGAAAAATTGTACATTTTATTTAAGCACAAGCTCAGTAAAAACTCAGCTATGCCATCAAAAAGAACTTATTTTTTCAAGTCAAAAAACCTCACCCTAGCTCTTGCATCAGTGTCAGCACTGCGATTCAGCAATAACTCAGCGATGTCTACATGACCGTAATGCGCCGCGATATGGAGAGGTGTCAGGCCATTCTGTGAAGAGATAGGAAAATCAATTTTCCCGTAACACTTGAGGAATACAACTTGAACAAATCCCAGTTCTTTCTGGATATCAATTTTACAAGACGTACAAACCATTCGCATGATGAAAAATTGTAGTCTCAAAAAAAGAAACTAGTTTGTTGAATAAAACTTTCACAAACTATTATATCAGAGGCTTTATGGCAGAGAAATTAAATGTACATGTACATCACAGTGCGTTTAAGTCAATGTCTATTTTTGAAGCTAACTCCATCCTTGTACATTAAAATGTAATCATACACTGATACCTGTTTCACTTTACAGTATCATGTGACAAAGAAAGAAAAAATCATTTTGTCCCATGAATGATAGTGGAGGACAAAGACAAAACATTTAGTGTATTTTTAAGCCGGCAAATCTTACAGTGCATTAAACGCAGGTTAAAAAATCAAATCTTATAAACTTCAAGAAGAAGAAAAGATAGATCAAAACATTTTTCTGTACTTCATCATTTATTCTTACCGTAGCGACAGCATTTACTGGAGCCTTGTTATCAATTAGAAGTCCAGATGTGCTGACATGATTTCCTTGGCAAGACATGTGCAGAGGAGTAAGTCCATGCTGTTTAAAAGAAAAAAAAAATTTTCATGATCATTCTTATATATCAGTGAAAGAAATATCATGATATGGTAATGGTTTTCCTTACAAGCATTCAGCAATTTGTCTAAAAACTCATTCCAGCCTACTGACCAATTGAATAAAGGAGGTAAGTTTCTAGAGAAACTCTGGTGCTCTGACTATTAGTGGAGAATGGTACAGGATAATTTGGTTTTTTCATCAACTGAGTTTAAAATGTAAATTGGCTGCTGCAAATAGATTCAAGATCTGATATTTCAAGGGTTAATCTTTTGTCAGAGCAAATGTGAAACAAAAACTGATCACAATTTGTGTCACTCTTTTCCCAAGTTTCGGGCAGTTGCTTTTTTATTCCTCAAGTTCTCACTACCACCTTCTGATATTTCTTTCTGTGCTGATATACAATGCAGATCATTGGGATTGCTTTAATTTCAGTTAAACCCCAATCAATCCAAAACTTCTGCAGACAACTCATGCTTTAATACTCCTTCGCCAAAGCCAAACATATTTTATTCAAAGTGAGTATCAAGATTCAGAGCCTCATTCAAAACATTTCTAACAGTTTGTATAATCCTCTTTAATAACCTCAGATTCCACTACAATGCCGTGGTGTATTACAAGAAGTTATATTTTGATGATCATACCTTAGTTCTGGCTGTTATGGACGCCTTTTTATTTACAAGATATTCTACAACTTTGTCATGTCCATCCCTTGCTGCACAATGAAGAGGAGTAAGGCCATCCTACAAGGCGACAAATTTGACTCATATTATTTGTGGATCACCACATTAAAACCCACTACTATGGATGGTAAGTATGATCATTATTTTCAAGTAACTGAACAATAATAATGCTTATTCTGAAGTTCTCATTTTTTAAGTTCCCAGCAAAAACTGGTTTGTGTTATAATATGCATGTCACATATGCATTTGTTACAACTGTTTTAAATGAAATAAATAAATCATTCCAAGAAAAAACACAACACATATTTTCAATTCCTTGTTCCACATCTTACAAATCTGAGCACAATAATTTACTTCCAATCCTCTCTCATTCATGTTCCAAATTTTGGCAACTCTGATTAGAAATCTGCATGCTACACATATTTTTCAGACAAGTAGTTTAAGTGCTTGAATGCATGAAGCTAAAATACCTTGTTAGGAATGTCGACTTTGGCCCCTTTTTCAACCAGCAGTGTAACAATATTGAGGTTTCCATATTTTGACGCCACATGAAGAGGAGCAATAACATAATTCTGTAGAGAAAAAAAATAAACAAATTACAAACTCACCCAACCACAATTAATCCTTCTGCTCCCAGATCAAATTTGTGATTCTCCTTACTGTCAACCATACAATTCTTATAATGTTAGTTCAGAGAATTTAGTATTGGATCAACTAATTATCCCCGAATTGATATTTTTCTTTATTCTCATCACTTATCTGGTTGATATTGTATTGATATTGTGAGGAGAAATTCTGTCTTGGTCACACACTGTACCTTCGTTTTGTAGTCAATAGAGGCACCATGTTGAACTAAAACCCCTGCCACATTTTGATTTCCATACTTGGCAGCAATATGAAGGGGTGTAAATCCATTCTACAAATTAATAACATAGTATATAATATATATCTTTTTAATCAGACAACATGTTAATCTTAAAATCATGAATTACAAGTGCAAACAGAAGTCAACTCACTGGAGCTTCAACATCAGGTTTGTGATCTTTCTGAAGCAAAAGTTTAGCAGCCTTAGCAAAGTCCTTCCTTGCTGCAGTATGAAGGGAACGGTAGCCTTTCTGTAGCAGAAAAAAAAAACAAAGAAACTCCAATTAAACAGATATATCAAAGAATTTATAGAGAAATGAAGGGATCCAGCAGCTAGATGCCTGTGGAATGGCTTTCTTAACTAGACCAAGTCCAAAAAAAAAGTTATAAGAGACATTTAGGCCAGAAAAGAAATTCTGAAACACAACTTTGTAAAAAGAAATGTGAAGGAAAAGGTAACAGGTGAATTATTTACTCTAGAGTCATTATGGAGAAGGGCAGCAACAACTTTCTCATGTCCCTGCTGGACAGCCACATCAATTGCAGTAAAACCATCCTGTAAAACAGAAAAACCAATTGAAGCTGAGTTCATTTGTCTTTTAATTTTTCATTCAAAATTCACTAACAAAAACAGCATTGACACTATTTTACCTAAAAATTCATTTAAAACTGAAATACAACCCTGAACAGTGACAACACTCTTATGATGTTTTAAGTTGCTAAAAGTGTCTCATGAAATACAGTTTTCTAAAAAAATTTTTACAAACATGAAAATAAGGCAAACATTGTCAGCAATGCCTTTTAAATTTGTAGTGCTCTTTTTAATTCTGAAGTGCAAAAAAAAAATGCTTATTCTATCAGTTAAAGCAATTTTTTCAAGTACCCATTACCAAAGTTATATTGACATCACTTCAACCTAAAATTCACTTTAAACTATGTCATGTTCCAGACAGTAAATGTAATTTTATGGAAAATACAAAATGGAAAGCAGCAAACACTGTTAATCAAAGATACCAAAACAATAGCGCTGTCTTGCAGAGCTACCACAAATTCCATGCTGTAAATTTTGAAGATGAATTAGCTTAAGTTTACAAAATCCGTCATGGATAAAAAATCTCAATTCTTGCAGCTATTGCTACAGGATTTACAAGGAGAGCAGTAAAGAGAATTGAGAAATTAAATACTTGTCCACTTGCCTCAGTTGTGCACTGCTGGTTTGCTCCTTCAAGAAGAAGAGTTCTTACAACATCAACATGACCTTCTTGCGCTGCCATGTACAGCGGCGTGAAGCCATTCTGTAACAGACCACCACGATCATTGGCATTTACAGGTAAAAGTGTGATTCAAATGTAACTTCTCCCTACACTATCTACACATTATTCAGCAGACAGGTAATGAGAATACTCAAACTTATCAGGTAGAAGTTGTTATCTTGACCAAATTCTTGTTACCAATTTACAAGGAAAGGTGTTACAGCAAGAGGCAAGGATTAACAATCAGATCTTGGGTGTCAAAAGTTTAACAAAATAATGCTACTATGTGGTCTGTCTCTTAGAAGCAAGGCAGGTAAGAGGTTAATATGGCACAATGGACTTTTTAACCCTTAACATCCTAACATCAGTATGCAAGTTCTCCCAACTGTTCTCTATACTTTCAAGGAGAATTTGTCCAACAATCAATACGAGCTTCTTAAGTTTGCAATCATTTCCATTATCCTCATGATTATGTTTGATTCAAGAATGAAACTGTAGGGAGAAATAAGCTGCTAGTCACTTGTGAGAATTAGAGTGTTATATAAAATAATCTGAATGATGAGTCCTCTGAGGAATTGAGGGCAGATCCATATACCAACTGCATCTCTCACCATAAAAACTCAACCAATAATTTAACCCTTAAAAGTAATAAGCATCTAATTTTTCCTACAAGAATCCCCACTAAATCAGACACTGGGGTCGTGAGAATAAAGGAAATGATCAACTTAAAATGCTCTTGATTGTTCAACAAATTCTCCTTATAAACATCATAAGAAATATGTAGAGCATTGCTGGGAGATTATGCATACTGATTTTTAGGTGTAAAGCATGCCAATTAAATAAATTTTGCTATATATACCTGAGCTTTGGAGTTCACAGAAGCCCCTGATTTTAACAAGACTTCTACAGCTGGTTTTTGTCCTGCAAGTGAAGCAATGTGCAACGCTGTGTTGCCTTTCTTGGTTGTAAAGTTCACTCCTGCTCCTCGCTTTAATAGCTCCTGAACAACCTCAACATGGCCCTCCTTTGATGACAAATGTAGAGCATTCAGGCCATTCTAGCAAAGAAGGAAAAAAATATTTACTCTCCCTTCTCCAAGATTTGAAAGCTTAATTCTCTGAACTGATGACCAGTACAAACTCTTCATCTAAAAACAATTCCTTTTTCTCAACACTTTCTCATTTAAAATGTATCAATATCTTGAGGAGAAATTCCCCTTTGGTCACTTTTGAAAATGAAGGATTCATTTCTTAACCATTTACACTAAGAAAGTAAAACAACATTGACTTAACATAGTTTATGTGCTGCTAGTTTCTATTCCATCATCTTGACAACAAAATAATTCATTCTACTCACAGCATTGCATGTGTGTATATCTCCTTCCTCATTCAAAAAGTTTCGAACCTTCTCAAGGTTTCCAGCTCTTGCAGCTCGCAAAAATGCAACATCAACCTGAGGACAAATTACACAACTTCTGTCAACCCTTTCACTCCCAAGATCTCCTGAGTAATTCTCCTTACTGTCTGCCATACAACTCTTATGATGTTAGTTCAAAGAATTTGGTATTGGATCAACTAAAAATCTGCTAATTGATCTTTTTCTTTATTCACATTACTTGTCTGCTTGACATTGTATTGATATTGTAAGGAGAAATTATTTCTCGGTCACTCATAGGAAATTTTAGAAGTGAAAGGAAAATTTGTCAATATCTTATTTAGAACAACACTATCTAGACAGGTTGTCTAGCCTAACTTATTTCAATAAGAGTATAAAAAATAACGGATTACAAAACATCAATTTGTATAAATGATTTTGGCTGATAGCAATTTTAAAAGCCTCAGTAAATACGAAAATTGCATTGAGAGCTATTTAGAGAAAACTAGCAAGATTTTAAATCAAAAAACAATTAACTTAATGAAGGGACAGTGTTTACAAATTGTAATTCTGTGGACCATGCGGATGCAGAGGAAGAGGAGCAGGTGATAAGGCAAAAATATAAAATTAATTCACACATTCGCTAAAACCAAACAATGTTTAAATCACTGATAGCACTTGACTAACAATTGCTGATAAAAACAATATTTACATTCTGTCTTGATTGCAATTGCTCACTGAGATTTAAATAGCAGACAGACCAGGAGGACAAGATGGAGGAACAAATTACCGGTAAGCAAAGTTACAAAATTAAATAAAACGTTGTTAATTCCAACAAATTGTTAACTTGCTAATGTCACTTTAGTATTGCCCCTAAAAAAAAAACTGTTTCCCTCCTGTCTTCATTTGAATTGCTTGCTGAGATAAAAACAATGAAAATTGATGGGGAACACCCACAATTATTTCAAACATAATGAACATTTTATTCAATATAACCAAACATCACATAGTTTAGGTGATTCTTTTTTGTTAGAATAGAGTTTTCCTGTTTCCTAACACAATTATGAGAATCACTGCCTCTGCAAGTTTACATTCTTTCCATGTATATCACTAAATTTATTTATTTTGTGGCCCTAACCACCTGAAGATGGAAAAGATAAATGAGACAAGTGCGAAAGTGTAAAACAATCATAACCAGATAAGGCTTGCTAATTTTCAAGATGGTGTTTCAGGATAGGAAAAAAATCATGAAGATTGCACAATTGTAACATGCCAACTCGAAGAAAACCACAAAAGTTCTCGATTACGACACAAACGATGACAGTGGCCTCGCACAGTAATGTACTTCGACCATAATTTCAAAACAAATAACACACAAGTTATCACCCAGAAGTCCGAATTTCCACAAAAGAAACATATTTATTTTAACATTATACAAAAGAGTAACTGTTGGTATAGGTAAACAAGTTTTGGCCGGGCTGGCTAAGGAATCATTGCAAAGAACAACAGAAGTAATTGGCGTGACCAGACTAGAATCTCTGTTCTTTGTCGATTTCCTCAACTGTTCATTCGTTCGAAAAATCAATCGGCTGATTCGGGGAAACGAAGAAAATTGACTTTTTCGAAGTTTATATTCGAAACTAAGCAGTGATTATGGAATTCAATGTAGGTGGCACAATCAATCCTGAATATAAATTTACAAAATGAGTAACCAACCGTATTAAATCTAGACTATAATCTCGATCAAACGTTCGAAAGTTGTCAACAACTCCGCAACGAACAATAGTTCCTTCACCCCAAATCATAAGCAATAGTAAGCAATAGCACATGTAGTTCACCCTCTCTACTGGACATCGAAAACGTCCTTTGAACTTTTCCTGAGAATGCTTTTAAAAAAAGTACAGACAAACATTTCACGTTCCTCATTAACAACGATTAAAAAGATCTTATCCCGATAAATCTGGCATATGGCCCTTCAAACATGACACATTAAACTTATATTTGGTACAAGCAAAGAAAACCTTTACAGGCAATAGTTTTCGTAAGAAAAAGCTGAAAATAGAATATAGTAGTTTGCGTTTGCACAGAGCTAGGTGTGGTAGACTTCACGCCTATTACAACACGCCCCCACGACTAAGATTAACAGGGAATTTTTTTTTAGGTTGAATAATCATATGCACTTTGAGAAAATCCAAACAGCGCGTCACTCTACGAGTGATATTTAAGCCGTGAAGCAACGATCTTGAGTACAATTAACTGACACGAGTAAAGATTAAAATAAATTTCCATTGCTATTCGCGTTTAAAGTTCAACTGCAACCGTAGTCGAATTTTTAGCATATTCACAATAAAATTATTAGAGCGACGAGATCGCTTGAACAGTTCAGCAGACTGTTCCTACATTTCACACGCTTGTAAATAGCAGGCTAAATTATTGAATATAAAATGAAGAATTCAAACCACATGAGTTCGTTCAATTCAAACATTCTGACAATAATTATTTTATGCGAAGAGGACAGAAAGAACACCTTCTTTGAAACATTGAATTCAACACGCTTTATGTCTTGCACGAAAGCTCCAGAAGATACGGAGAGGAGTTCGTTTAAATTTTTGAAACCAACAACAGGAAATCGTGTGATCGTTTCCAAACAAAGACAAGAAAAAACGGCTTAAATTTTGTTTTGTAAACTTTCCAAGGAAGATATGGCGGTTTGACACTGCCAAAAGGGCAGACTATTAACACACAACCCGTAGAAAATGGTCAGAAACAGAGACACTGTCTTCGTCGTTGTGCGTGACATAAGGTTGCTAAAGAAAATAACAAAACAGAATTCCAGCCGAACAGCACCGTTTCTTAAAACAACAAAAATAATTTTCCTGACTTCGATAGCAAATGAACTAACAAATTAAGCGAGTCCTGAGGCGCACTTTGCCACTGAATTAGGGAGAGAATTTTATGGCAAGGTTAAGACCACGCAACTGATCACAGTACTCCTAAATGCGCGCCATTCTCGACTTACCTGATTCAAAGTTGTTTTATCCTTCATTTTTGAAAATGACCCTCGAATCAGAATGGCAAATCGACTCCTAAGTCAAGTGCAGTGCTGCAGATTTTTGACGCAGCGTTAGAGCGAAAACGCCTTACAGGTAAGTATTTGTTCGAGTCACTGGCAAGGGCAGAAAGCTTGAATAATACGGCCACAACGCCTCGTTGCGATCGAGACTCTAAACCACGCATGCTCCTAAATCTGCATTGACACGCGTGGTATTCGCGCAGCGCATGCGAGACGCGTAGCTATGAATTAAAAATACCTCGCATCTTTCCTGAGTTGCAAAAGCAAAGACAAAAGCAGTAAATTGCGAGATTTTTCGTTTCCATTCCTTATCATCTCTCAAACCTGACTGACTTAAGTCAGATTTCGTTAGTTTACTTACCCATTTTATTTTTATCATTTTCGATTTTGTGATTATGTCAAATTCAGAAGAAAATAAATGGCCCTAAGAAATAGGACAGAATATTGTCCAACAATCCAATGGTCCAGTCCACTTTTATATGATGTCAAGAAAAAATGGTCTTATCAAGTTCAGCAAACAAATAAAAAGTAAACAAATTATTCAGACTCGTGAGGACTGAGGAAAAATCTTGATGCATTTCTCAAAATTTAAGAAACTACAAATTGACCTAGGAATACATTTTATACAGCTTGTTAAGAATTAAAGACCAAAAAAGTTGCCGTCATGTCTCAGATGACCCAGTAATATGAGGCCGTGCTGGTTTGTTGTAATTTTTTTCCACGTTAACAGCCAGTCCACGCGGGATGCTTTTCGAAATGACACGCTCAAGGATTTTTCAAACATCAACACAATGAAATTTCTCTGCCAATTTCTAGTATTGAAATATCAGTTTGTAAAAAAAAGAAAACTTTCTCCCGTGTTTATATCAAAATAGCTCGCAAGAAAATAAACAAGTGAATCATGTGCTGTCTTTGCGACAGGAATATTGTTATAACATATTCCAGACGTTATTTTCAAATACACACACTCGCAAAAAAAGAACTTAATTTTAACCTTTCGGTCAGAGTTGAAATGGAAATTTAAAGGTTTACACTTTAACTGAAAGGTTTGAACTTTCTATCCAGCTCGCTTATTGACCAATTTTCTCTTCGGTTATGTAAATACCGATTAAATAAAATAGCGGAGAGTTAAAAATCAGGACAGATATCAGCTTAGCATAGTCTAGAAGGTTCCTCTTCAAAATTGGCTCATGATTTCAGGAGCTTGGGTGTAACAGAACAATCATGTTCATCGTAAGTGTATTTCAGAGACTGTTTTATTAATTTGACGGCCAAGTAAGTCGATTCTGGAATCAGTGGCGCTAAACGGATGTATTTAAATGTGTTTAATATCGAACCAGAAGCCAAGCTAACCTGAGATCGTGCGAAGGAAAGGTATTTTAGTTAACGACAATGAAACAACATTACAGCAGTTATTTTATAAATACTCACCACAAGATCCTTCATGCTAAACGTAAGCTGAATAATACGCTATTGCAGGGCAGAATTCCTCGCATCTCTAACATACAGCCGTGATAAACACACCTTCCGCGGGACTTTCCATCTCTTGTGACAGTAGCTTACGGCATTCTCCTCTTCAGAAAAGGACAGATTTCTCTCCAGACTTTTTAAAGACGTTGAAAAGTTAAATTACACGCGAAATCGACTGACTCCTCCGGTACGAGCGCGCTTGTGAATCACCACTATCACACAGTGTCTGCCAGAACAGATCAGAGTGCGAAAGTCAAAAATTAATCAAATACAATTTCTTTCAACGCATCAATCATTTACTCCAAAAACATTAGGCATCTCTGAACATTGAACCCAGCCAACAAGCGCAGTCGAAATTAAATTTCGCTGATCAATTGCGACAAAATATCACCAATGAAAAAAACAAATAAAGACATAAATTAATTCGAATATTGATTTTAAATTAGGTGATGGATTTTTTAAATTGGGTGATGGACATTTTCTTTTTTTTTTTTAAGGAGGAAGTATTAATTATGGAATGATATCCCACTGTAAAACATAAAGGAAAAAATAAAGGTCGTATTTCCGAACAAGAAGTTAAAACAAAGAAAGAAAATGCGGATGTTTCTTGTCTTGAAATGATAACTTCAAGGGGGTAGTATCTTGAAGAAAATGATAAAATACTGATAACACTGTTTTGTTTTGTTTGTTTTTTCACTTGCATGCTGTGTGGCTGATGATCATAATCTACTCGCGTGATCTTAAAAAGATTCTTCGGCCTTATAATGCAGTGATGTGATCTGAAACGTAATATTTTTAAAGCACTTATCAGTATTTGGATAATTACTACAAGCGTCCTGATTGGTCAAAAATTTATCGTAAACCAAGAGTAAATTGTGTTTTGTTTTCTTTGAAATTTCTGATAGCCATTGAAAATTTTGTAGATCACTCGCCTTTAGCTCGTGATTTCCAAACTTTCCTCTTGTTCTCCCAACATCCCCAGAAGTTATTTCGCCCATAGACCGATAGAAAATGCGGTCTATTGCTTAAATATCAACGAGGTAATGGTAGACGCACGGGTAAATACTAAGAACAAAAATCTTGAATCCTAGACAAAAAAAAAAGCGAAATTTCTACAGCATAATTACAGAAACACCTCGCAATATAATTTAGGAATTTTCAATATGTAAAAAAGGAATGTAAACAGTTCGGAACTGAGCAAAATAAAGCAAAACAGGAAATAGCTTGCGAAGCTGGCGGTTCTGTATGGTAGCGCAGTGCGGCGAAGCCACGAGAGGCTCTGGACGAAAGATGGTTTTATCTTGGAAGTCACAAAACGATAGAGTGCACAAAAGCTAAACAAGAAAATAATAATACTAAGAAAAGCAGAGCAATGTCTCAGGGTATAAGAAAAAATTTCTAAACTGGACCGAACCTTCAATCAGTCAAGCGCTCTAAAGAGCCTATCGCGTAAGGCACGCATGTCACGTTTCTATTCCTCCAAAACATCTTGTTCCCAGATTCTCTTTTCTTCTCGCCTATAAGGGCCTAAGTTTCCTTCACTCTGAGGAATAATTTGGTTGCACCAACTGAGTTCAAATTTGGACGAAACGAGAACGTTAGCACCAGCCCTTAGCAAGCCAAAGCAAAGGGCAGATGCTTGAAACTCAGCTTTAGTAACTCTTGATTATGGCCAATTCATAATATCGATTCAATCGATAGAATCAAGTTATTCTGCAAACCATCCAATTTGGTTCCGCTCAATGAAACGGATTCGGGCTCCTCTTCCCCTCAGAGCGAGGAGGTAAAAAGTTCCTATGCCCCGCGCCTCTTTCGTTCTCTTCAGCAGCGAAATGAAAGAGGGTCTAGAGACGAAGCAGATAGGCCACTGACAGGAATTACCTCTGTTTGGCTAACCTTTGGTCTCAGAACCTGTTACGTTAGCGAGTCACATGGAACGAAGCAGCCAAAAATGGAAATAAAAAAGAAGGAAGGAAAATAATGGAGATAAAAACTTTCAAAGTTCCTTACACCTTACTTTAGGTTAACCTTTTATCTCCCAAGATCTCAATACTAATTCTCCTTACTGTCTACCATATAGTTCTTGTGATGTTAGTTTAGAGAAGTTGGTGTTAGATCAACCAATAATTCCCTAATTAATATTTTTCTTTATTCTCATCGCTTGTCTGCTGAATATTGTATTGATTTTGTAAGGAGAAATTCTGTCTTGGTCACTTATGGGAGTTAATGGGTTAAATAACGATCCAAGAATTTCTCTATGATCACCTTTTGTGTTTATTTGTTTAAAAGATGAACGCCTACTCTACCTAAGAAACCAGATGAGTCGACGTGAAGTAAACAGCGCTTGGTCCAGGGAAAGCTGTTCCCAATTCCAGCCCAAGGGCAAACTTTAGTTTAAAAATATGCTCATTTGATACAGCGTTTACAGCATATGACGTTTTGAAGTGTTTCTTTTGTTCTTAAAAAGGAAGAAAGTGAACCAAGGGTGACTCCGTTTGTGCTTCAACTACCTGCATATGAAATTTCCTAAGACACAACATTTGTTTTTGACCAAAAGAAACAACTTAATGGTTGATTTTCTTTACAATGAAAACCTCTGAAGACAATTTCGCCGAGAAAATTGAAGAGAGGAAAGGAACTCTTTAAGAGCAGCCAGCTTTGACATAAAACTGAATCTTTGACTTTTCCAGCAGAGACATCACAAAAGAATAAAAATTCCTCAAGAGAGCTGCCAAAGTTAACCAAATTCTTATCACTATGCTACAATTGCATGAATCAGGAGCAGAGATGTGGATTTTACATTTGTAATAACAAAGTCTCTGGTGAAATGTGGCTAAACCACGCAGACACTTGTATATTTCCTGTGACCCTGACTGCCACAACCTCTGTCTTCTGTCTCTCATGATGATGGAGGAGGTGGCCCTGGAGGAGGGGGTGGTGGTGGAGGAGGAGGTGCACCCATCAGGGGGGGTGGTGCCTAGGTATAAAAATGAAAGCCATTCATTAGAATGTCAAAATCAATACTGTTCTTAAGCATAGACTGAAACAATATGTATGGCACCAGTGATATATTACCAGGTGAAAAAAAGGTTCAAGCTCAAGTTCATGCTTAGGCAGGGCTTTTCTCGATTTCTGTATTTCTACTCTCACGGGATGGGATGTGAGTCCATCACAGATTATCTCCCCCCCCCTGCCACATTTTCCTGACAGTTTAACTTGTGCCCATCTGGGTGAAGACAATCAATGCAAGAGAAATACATCTTGCCTGAGAAAAGAGCTATGCTTGTGGACCAGACAGGGGAGAAAACTCCTTTTCCACCCTCTGGAACAAAGGTAAACTACAAAAAGTCCCTACTTAACCCAAGCAGCTCATACAGCTGGAGCTTATCCCAGACTCCATAGCATGAAGCACCTGGGAGTATTACTGCATGTACTCCCCCTTGGATAGGAAGCCAGCCAACAATAAGGTTACTTCCTACATTTCATCAGGCTTCCCTGATAACTTGAACCAGCCATTAATACTTCTGGGTGGAAAGAGGCACTGTAGGATTAAAGCATTCTGACCAAGAACACAATACAATGAAACGCCCAGCCCTCTTAACCCAGGACCGCTCAACCCAGGGACCTCTCATCCCAGGACCTCTCAAACCAGAGTCCAGCATGGGGCCACTTTATCTCCCACCTTGAACAGAGGTATTGAATAACATAGCTGGTGAACTTCACATGGTAGTTGTCAGAAAAGAAATATCTGGGGAATGCACCCCTGCCGATTTTTGCCGAATTTTTTCCTGCCTTTCTATGCTGACCTAGAACCTTGAGGTGGCACTGGCTAAAATTTGACTACAACCACAACTAATGGATCCATTTTTCAGGCAGTTCCACAGATTGGGCACTGGGCTTGTAAAGCCTGAATTCACAGTAATCATCCCATAAATAAAAACAATTCATGGAACAAAAACTCACCCAATGACCATCTGAGGGGGGTGGCATGGGTGGTCCATAAGGAGAAAACCCTGGGGGTGGGGGTGGAGCAAATCCAGGTCCCTGATTCTGCCAGGGTGGGGGGACAGGATCTACAAGAGAAGATAAAAATATTGTTAGTTTACTGGTGTTAATAAAGTAATGCAATATTTCCACATATTCAACGCTTCTCCTCACATAGACAAGTACGTGCTCAGCTCAGTCATCATGCTACAACCAGTTGAAAAAATGATTAAGACATGCTACTACAACAAGAGATATTTGTTCACCATGTCATCCAATGTAGTTTATCTTCCTACTTCCCCCTTGGCCATGTTGCTAGCTAAGCAGTACCATATACAAAACTTTGATGAACAAAATTGAATCAGGAAAAGGGGGGCATGGCCATCTGATGGAGTTGGTAAATGCCCTTTTTGCTCAAGGCATCTCAACATTTTTGTAACCGATTTTAGCTAAAAAAATAAACAACTTCTCCCTATGAAGTTGGTGCTGCTGGACTAAAAACTTCGTCATAATTTGATAAAGTTTACTTGCTTATCAAAACATTGGCATGAACAGGCATGTCAACATTTACAAAGATGATAAACATTTCTCAAAGATTTCAAACTATTTCAAACAGGTTTCTCTACTCACTTTGCCAAGGAGGTGGAGGGGGAGCACCAGATGCTGGTGGGGGTGGAGGTGGAGGTCCATGTCCCCCAGGTCCCTGGGGTGGATATGGTCCAGGTCCACCTGAAGGGGGAGGGTGTGGTGGACCACCCTGCTGATGGGGATGAGGAGGACCTGAGAATGAGAAATGAGAGGTTAGGACAAAACTAATGAGTACATCAAAGATTGGTTTTCACTTATGTCACAGTCAGAATTAACATCCTTGTCAGAAGCTGAGAGCACTATAGTCCAGTAAAAGTCATTTAGTGAGAACAGAAGAATGGTAAACCATTTGATTTTTCAAACTCCAATTCTCTCAAGCTTACAATGGCACCTTTCTACTCTCACTGGATCAGAGGCACTCTTGACTACAATCCTGAATCTGTCACCAATGAAAACCAGCTAGAAGATGACAATGGCATGATCTTTGCTCTTGAGACAGTTTGCTCTTTAGACAGTCAACTCTTAAGAAAATCAGCTCCTAAAACAGTCAGCTCCTGAGACAGTCAGCCCTTTAGACACTCAGCTCTTAAGACAGTCTGCTTTTAAGACAGCATGCTCTCAGGACGGTCTGCTTTCTGGAAAGTCAGTTCTAAAGACAGACTTATCTTAAGACAGTCAACTCTTATAACAGTCAGCTTTTTAAGACAGTCAGCTTTTTAAGACAGTCAGCTCCTAAGACAAACAGCTCTTAAGACAGTCAGCTTTTAAGAAAGTCTGCTCTCAAGACAGTTTGCTCTCATGACAGTCTGCTCTTAAGGCAATCAACTCCTATGACATTCAGCTCTTACCCATCAGTGGTCCACCAGGAGGAGGCAGCAGACCAGGTTTTGCCCATGGTGGAGCATTATTGCCATTAGGTGGTGGTGGAGGAGGCCCTCCCCCAGGCATGGGTACTGGTGTGCTCATCAGTGGCTTAGGACCTGGTGGTGCAGCCCATGGGGGTGGGGCAGAGGATGGAGGCCGATCTTGATTGGTGTTCTGAAACAAGAACCAAATTTGATGAAAATAGCAATCTGTATTTCCTTTCTGCCCAAATTAACTCTGTTGTTTGCTAGTCTGGTTTGTGCTTCTTCACTCTCCTAAATTTCTAAAAATCTGTTTCCTCCTAAATTGGGTTTTATTTACAAACTCTATTCTCCTTGAAAAATTTCACTTCTCACATCACCCTGAGAGATTAAACTGTTCGCTAGTTTGCTACTTATCCTCATCCTAACCAGGTCCAAAATTGCACCAGCTGACTGCCATTGCAACTGTGAAATGACTGATCACAGTATCATGATGACCAGAATTTTAGCGGTGGTTGCCAGTAGGTGAATATGTTGAAGTCTTGTCAATGGTCTTTACAAAAATCAACAGCCAAGAAATTGTTAGTTGTTGAATTGTTTGTCAGTTAGCTAATTGTCATGATCATAATAACTGGAACCAAAATTACAACCAGCTAGCTACCAGTGCAACTGAGAAATTAGTGATTACAGTCTCAAGATGACCAGAATTTTAGTAGTGGTTGCCAGAAGGTGATACTGCTGTGATTTTTTCATAGCACTCTTTTACAATTTGCTTGTAATCATTCATGTGTAGAAAAATGTTTTAAGCAAAGAAACATCTGTAAAATGTTTTTGGTCCATTCAATTGCCACTCAGCATCCCCATAAAAAGTTCATATGGTATTGGATGATGATAATAGCATAATTTATATGTCTCTATTTTTATCACTTTGTCTGGTGGATATTGTATTGGTATAGCAGAGAGAAATTCTGTCGTCGTCACTCGTGGGAGTTAAGAAATGTTACTCTCAGAATGATAAACATTATGTGCATGGGCTTTTAAAGTATTTATCAAGAGCCTTCCTTTCGCTTTTTAAAAAACCGCACTATATTTATAGAATTTCGAATTAAAATCCATTTAATTCATCTGTGTTCAGTAATTGTAGCGGCAGGTGCATGTATTTCGATCCTCTATACAAAACAAAGAACTTTCTTTTCACTATGGACAGTTGTGGTCCATAAAGTAATTGAAACAAAAATATTCAATTGCCACTCGGCATCCCCATAAAAAGTTAGTTGTGATCCTGAACATACCTGCATGGGTGGAGGGGGACGTGGAGTAGCTGTGAGCTGAGGAGGAGGTGGCCTGTTTGGTTCCACTGGGGGCGGAAGCCTTGGCTGTACCTTTGGCTCTGGCAGAGGACCTTCTCCTAGTTCAGCCATGAGTGACATGTACTACAAAAAGGTAAAAATACATAAGTTACTTCTACCATTTGCATTCATCCCTAAAACTTGATAAATTATTTAACAATTGACTTTTCAAACCCTAATCCTTTCACTCCCCAGATCTCACTGGTAATTCTCGTTAATGTCTACCACACAATTCTTAAGATGTTAGTTTGAAAGAAAAAATTGGTATTGGATCAACTAGCAATCTCCAAATTTACATTTTTCTTTATTCTCATCACTGGTCTGCTTGATATTGTATTGATATTGTTAGGAGAAATTCTGCCTTGGTCACAAACTGGAGTTAAGAATTAAGCAACTTTGCCACCAAAGGCAAGGAAATATTTTGTAGTGACTTCTTTCTCAACTGCACCTATGAGTAACAGGTCACATTTTAATAAAAATTTACCTCGCTATCCATTTTTGCCTTGTCCACCTGTACCACAGGAATAGGTGGTAAACTATGACAAAAAACAGCAAAAGTAATTCAGAAATGTTGTATCAGTTAATTTTTTCACTGTCCTCTGCACCTAACATTTTGTCTTTCACAAATAATAAACATTTCATTAGTTTCTAAAATTGTGGGCAATTACAACAAAGTATCCTGCTAAATGTGTCAATGTGTACCTCTTCTAAACAAGAAATCGAGGTTAGTAAGAAATTACTTATATATATTTATGTGTTTATATCTGGGTTCAACTATAAGGAAAGATTATTTCAAGTGAAGCAAACTTTTGCCTCAGTGAGCAGAAAAGTGAAATAGGACCCACTAAATTGACCAAGCACATACTGAGACATTTAATAATACTGCTTACACTGCACTTCACACATCAACAAATACACAACTATGTTGTGAGACAGATTAAAATAACAAAAGCTTTATGACTACAATCAGAAGTAGTTGTTGCACTCACTCTGTTTGAATGCAGTCTGAAGCCAGATGACCTGCTGCCCCACATTTTGTACAAAGCACATTATTTGTGACATTTTTCTGTTCAGGGCACTCCCAGTGGCGATGCTCCGCTGATCCACAGTTTCGGCATCTTAAAATCAACACAAAAGCATGAGAAGGTAACCCTTTAACCCTTAAAAGTGACTGGCATTTAATTTCTCCCTACAATATCAGCCCTGAATCACACCTTAAGGTCATGAGAGTAAAGGAAATGATCACCATCTAAAGAAGCTCTTGATTGCTATACAAATTCTACTTGTCAGCACCTTGGGAAATGCATAGAGAACAGTAAGGAGATTCTGCATACTGATGTTAAGATTATTACCTCAGAATCTCATCATCCCTCAATGTTCCATTCAGAGCAGCTAATTCTCTCAGCTGCATCCTCTTCAAGTCATTTTGTCCTTCTGGGGCTTCTATGCCCTGCCGCAATATGTCCCGAATCTGAAAAAAATAAAAAAAATTATCTGTTTGTTAAATTCGCAGATCAGAATTCACCCAACTATGTTACTTTATGTTACTTTCACAGAAATTAGCCTATCCTTCTAAGAAACAGGCTTATCAACAATCAAGCCATCAACTTCTTCTCACACTGAAAACAAAGGCACAATGAAGGCATAAATAACTTACCATTGCAACAGCTTTCTGCACAGACTGTTCATTTGGTCCAGTTACTAAAGCATGAAGCTCTTCATCTTCTCCAGGATTTGGCTGTCCATCCTTCCTTCCCTGAACAACAAAAAACAAACAGGGCAAAGTAAGAACCTGCTTAATCATTCCTTTGCTCTCTGCTCTCACTGGTAAGTGGGGCAGAAATAAAGGTTGTCCACTGCTCTTACTGTAAACACCAGCGGATAAGCCATAACTATTTTCACAAAATTTGCACAACAAATCAGCTGTGTGATGTATCTGTGTGAACCTCTGGAAATTGTGCCACAAAAAACAAAAATTGACACTGCCTATCAAAAACTTTTGGATCTTTGTTAAATGCCAAGCTACTTGGCAACAAAGGACTAAATGAACAAACTGAATATTTCTTGTTTGATGTGAAAATTTTAGGGAAAATCTGACTGAAATGAAAAATTTATGGATCAAACAATACTTAAGTAAGATCAAACATAACTCTAAGTAAGTAGATATGATGTCCAAATTAGTACAACTAAGTTATAGCTGAGGAGTCAAAGTATTTTCTGTTTTCATTGTCAGTGGGTTTATGCAGGTGTATGTTCAATGAAGCAACCAAAATAATGCAACTTTCATACAACTCAAGTTGTGATTTCTCCTGATTTCTACTGAAAATTTTTCTCCAACATGTGGGTTGACAAACTCTTGGTGGAGCTTGTCTGCAGGTGTGGCTTATCTGTTGGTGTTTACAGTACATTGAGATAAACACACATGGATATAAGAAAACAAATCGTGCAAGGATATGGAAAAAAAGGAACATCACATCTTACATTGTGTATTTTTCCTTCCTTTATAGAGCCCTTTCCTCTGATCATGATCTTTGCGCTACTCTGAAAAACCAAAGAAAACACAACTTAATCAATAAAAAGAACAACTTTGCCAAAATATAATTTAACCCTTAAACCCCTATGTGACTAACATCTAATTTCTCCTTATAATATCATTCCTGAGTCAAATATTATGGTGATGAGAATAATAGAAATGATCAACCACTAGAGAAGCTCTTGACTATTTAGCAAACTCTCCTTGTCAACACATAAGGAAATGTTTGGTGAACAGTATGGAGAATATGCATACTGATTTTAAGGTGTAAAGGAATAGAGAAAAAAACTCTTCTAAAAAAATTTAAATTCTCAATGACTTGGAAACCACGATGGGAGACTATTGGCTGGAAAGTTCAAAATTTGCTTGTTTCAACACATCATCTGCATCAGAGATAAATGACGTTACCTCTTTTTTCAATTTTTTTTAAAGTGTTACCTTTTAAGAGGTAGGGAAAAATATATTTAAAAATACAATGTTACCTCTTTTTCAATCTTTTTTAATGTGTTGCCACTGAATGAGAAGAGAAACAAATATAATTATTAAAAAATTAAAAAACCCTTTAACTTCCATGAGTGACTAAAATAGAATTTCTCCTTACAATATGGGTACAATTTCAAGCAGACAAGTCATAAGAATAAAGAATAATATCAATCAGAGGATTATTAGCTGATCCAAAACTAAGTTCTCTGCACTAATATCATAAGAATTGTATGACAGACAGTAAGGAGAATTACTCATGAGATCTTGGGAGTGAAAGGGTTAAGTCTGATATCCTTTGCCAGAAGTTGAAACATTTATCGCAAAAGCCTCCATAGACTATCACTTATTCAGTGCAAATTCAAAGTAAAAGAATAAAAGGACAATTGAATGCAAATTTTCTGATAAACATGAGCTGGCAGATAAACTCTTAGAAAAGGAGGCAAAGTGTATTGCCATCTACAACACAGTGGTGGGTTATGGATTCCCATTGGCAAGAAAAGATCGACATCAGCCAGCAAACACAGCTCCAAACTCTAAAGAGTTCAGATGCCCTGTCTGACAGCAAATCTGTTTGTCAGGAATCTGACTGCTCTGTCGTCAACAAATGCATTGAGAGAACACTACCAACAGTGTTCTTCTTGAACCACTGTGAATGAATATCATATAACTTAACCAGTAACAGTAACAGGAAAATTTACCACCAGTGGTACCTCTGGTTACTGCCTAAAATTTCTTGAATTCTTAAAAATTCAAAAGGTAAAAGGATTGCTTGACAGGTTTGAAAATTTGTTTTATCTCGGGAGAATGCTGAACCTAGCAGGAATTCTTGAAAATTCAATATGTAAAAGGATTACTCTACAAGTTTGAAAATTTCTTTTGTCAGGGGAGAACTGTGCACTTAGCAGAGATCCTACTTCTTTTCAGCATATTACAAACAGCAATGACACATGATGGTATTTAATAATATTGTTGCTAGAAAATTCAAAACACATTTATCCCTAAAAAGGAGACCAACATACCGAGGTCCAATGAGCAATCCAATGAAGTTAACTTCAGGGTGGTTGTCCTGTGGAATCATAACTTTATCCTGGATTTTTATGATTGGTGGCCTGTGTTGTTTAGAAGTACATTTTTTTAATGTTAGCAAGGCATGAAGAACACAAAATTTCTACACAATTTGCCCCTTTCATAAAGATTAACCAGATTTGCAGTTGAGAAATTAGGCTGCCAACTGAAATTTCACTTGAGGCTGCTCAAAGATACTGAGATCTGGCCTGGTAACAATGTTTGTTCCCAGTCATTTGTAATGCTTATAGTGAAGGGCTACGAAGCTTTCTGTTTACAGAGACAAAAAACAGAGGGAGGTCACAATAAACAAATGCTCAAAATGATGTTTTCTTTCAATTCTTTGTCTTACAGTAGTGTCACTAATACTCAAGTTGGTCAGGCATACATCAAAATGTTTTCAATAAGATAATAGTATGCCCAGCTGTTTAAAAGGTGTCCAGGGAATAAAGGTGGGTGCCTCTGCCACTCAGACACTACAAGAGCACAGCCCTGCTAACCATGCAGTAGAGTTCCACCAGAGTCTTGCAAACTAACCATTACACAACTTAATATAAACATAACTTGCTTTAAATTGCATCAACAGATGCATCTACTTCAAAGTAGTGGCATCAGCCTTTGAATCTAAAATTTCTTTGGCAAAAAATTGATACAAATGAAGCAAAGTGTCAATGGTGACAACTAAAATAGCAAAACCACCTACTTATAATCTGCAGGAGGCTTGTAATCTTCATTTAAACTCAGGGCTTCCTGTATAAGCACATGCCTCTCCTCCTCCAGTTTCTTTCTTACTCTGAATTCACGAGTGTTTAACCTTTTCCCTTCTGTGTTATAAATTGGCTCTGGAGATGGTGACCTGACATGCAAAATAAAATGAATAGACATATCAACCCCTGGACCCTTAGAGTGACTAACATCTTAGTTCTCCTCACAATATCACCCCTGAATCACACATGAGGGTCACAAGAATAAAGGAAATGATCACCAACTAAAGTGGTTCTTGTAGTTAGAAATAAGAGAGATGGTAAGTTTTCAGCTTGGTAAAGAAATAAAGAAAGATGTTCTTTGTCTTGTCACAAGCATGGGACAAAGAAAAAATTCTGAGTCCCCTCCTGAGGATTTGAACCTCAGACCTTTGGATTCCGCACTTATTTCCAGACAACATCACCCCAAATTCATCACTCTCTTCACTGCTGTCGAATCTCTGCTTGAAAATGCTTCAATATGGCCAAGAAAATTCAGCAATAGGTCTTCAGTCTTTGCAATTGGTTTGATTGGTATTTTTCTAAGTTCAATCAACCTCAAGTAGTGACAAGTAATACCCCTAAATCAAACACGGAAGTCATGAGAATCAAGCGATTGATCACCACATGAAGAAGCTTGTTCAACAAATTATCCTTGTTAGCACCATAGCAGATGTATAAGAAACAGTTTGAAGGATATACCTCTCATCAGGATTGTCTGGTATCCCAAGCTCTCCTGTTCGAAGCATTCGGGTGATTTCTTCAATCTTCAATTGAGCTAAACAGAAAAAAAAAATAATGATAAAAAATAAGAAACAAGGTCACACTATCCACCAGAGTTGAGGATAACATACAGTCAAAATATCCATATGAGATGTACTTCTGAAAAATAATCATGGAACCAGGGGATAGCAGATATGTTGTGGTTCAATTTTGTCCTTGGTTCAAATGCTATTTTCCGTTGTTTCAAACTCATTATCATACATTACAAACAACCAAAACAAGGTTAAAAATTAAACCAAACAGATACACGCTACTAATTTAACCCTTTAAATCCCAAAGTCCCATTGCTAAATCATTCCTCTAGCTGCTACACATTTCCTTTTGACTTTATTACCAGAATTTGGTATTAGATCAAGAGAACAACCTCTACCTGATAAGTTTGAGTATTCTCAATACCTGTTTTGTTGACGATGTATAGATATTATAGGGAGAAGTTACATGTCAATCACTTCTGGGAATTAAAGGGTTTAGAGGTGGCTATGAGGAAACAAGCCATTCATTCTCCTCTAAATCCCAGGTTTTAGCTAAGAAAATAGTCTGAAGGTTAAGGTTATAACTGAGATCTAATTACATAATTTCCTCCCAGTCTAAAGCAACCCTGGCCAAAATACAGCCAGAGATCACCTCTTTTTCAGTTGGTAAATTTAGCTCGCAGCCAGCACGTAGTGAAAACCCTGCAAATGAAGACAGGGTTTAAACTGAATGTCCCAGAAATCCACACAGGAAAAACATCCTACCTTGAAACACAAGGTGAGAAGCAAACAAGTCTTGGCTAGAAAACAAATTCTCCTAAGAGCAATTAAAGAGAACGAAGGAGAATCAGTAGCAAGAATATCATCATTCATCATTCCCTTACCAATGTACGCCTGTTGCTGCTCCGGGGATAGATTAGGTGGCATTGTTGTCGGCATTCCTGGAATAAAGGTTTTCTTTTCCTCTGTTCCCCATCTGCTCCTTCTTTTCTTCTTCCTTTCACCATCTAAAGGATAAAAAAGAAGTGAACCCTTTCACTCCCAAGATCTTGTCATGTTTTATTATATAACCCCTCCAGCAACACAAGCTTATAGAAAGCCTTAATGAAAACTGATGCATGTAGGGCCAGACAGGTTAAAGTGAGCTGATCTGGAAAAAGCCCTCCTACCTAACACTGATACCCTTTTGATGCAACAAAGAAAAAAATAACATTGTTTAGGTTAGCTGTTGTTGAAAAAATGAGTAAATTCTTAACTAGTCACGATTTCTCTATGAATTGTGATTTCCTTGTTCTGACTTAAGAAGGAAAGAAAAAGTTTTTATGGTGGAATTTATTTTATGTTTTTCTATTTTTTTTTTCAACACTTAGTGATCATATCATATGATACAATGCTTCTTGACTGAGTTTCATTGCACCAGACTGGAGAATAATTGGCTGGGTTTTGTCCTTGGGCCAAAAATTTTCCTGTCTAGCCCTCCCAATCAGTCAATAAGTTTTAATATGGAAATCTTTCCCTGTCCTCTTCAGGTGAATGAGAATGCCTGTTTAGTTGCCATCTTATATGGCATTGTGCAACCAAACCACCTTTTTGTCTGGAGGAGACTGCAAATATGCAGTGTGAACATAATATATCATTGAATGACACCATATTCTGTAAACGCATTTTGTCTTAAATTTTAGTTTCCTGCTTTCATATTCAAATGATTACCAAAACAAAAACATAACTCATGTGAAATACAGCTTTAAAACTGGTTTTCGTTTCTTTTAAAAGATAGAACAAAGAAACGTCAAATAATGCACAAAATTCACACAGGTAATGGTGATATTTGGTATTCATATTTTTTTTTTTTGGAAAACAGCTAATTGTTGTTTTGTGGATATTGTGATTCTGTCCAATAAGTGAAAACAAGTTCGATCTCCGTGAAACATAGAATCTAGCTTAAATCAACTCGACCGTTACTAAACACAGCGATCCTCAAAACTTGATCGTAATTTGTTTTAGTAATACTATAATCAGAAAAGATTAACGATAAAATAAATAAACGTAAACAACCTGAGGGAATCCTACTGTGGTCCCATACATCTGTGAAATTCTCGTACAGTAAAACTTATGGTAAGCTTAATCTAACGAAAAATGTGTGCACTTTCCAGGGGAGCTATAGCATTCGCTACCAGTTCATGTCGATTGACTGAAAATTCTGTCAAACATGCGTTTTGATTGGTTTCTCTGCCATTAAATTTTGCCACACGATAATCATAAATCCTAGCATGCATGAAAGCCAAGATTTCACGCTGATAAAGCGCTGTCTCTAAGAAACTCACCTCCGAATTCGGAATTACCGGCTTCTCGTTTCACGCCAGATGACGGGCTTACAGATCCTTGCTGCTTTGCGGCCAATATTGGATGAAGCCGACCCAACGGGGTCGTATTAGCCCCAGTCAAAGACATAGTAGTTGTCTTATCCCACCACCGCAAAATTAAAACATTCAGTAGTAATTTGAGAGAACAAAATCGCTAAGAGATTCGAACAAACACTCGCTCTTGCCAAAAAATTATCCCAAGACCACGATATTCTTGAAGAATTGCAAAGCATCATGGTTGACAAAGCCCACTGCACATGCGTAGTAGTTAAAAGCGTTATGTAAAATTCATGAAAAAATGTTCACAAATGGTGTAGAATTTCCTGGTTTCCCGCTCACAACGTTTTGTTTTGTCTTCAAAGTCGGCTACACTAACCAACGTGATCAGTAAGTAGCCCCATGGGGTACCTGGGCCATTTTTTGGCGGGTATGTGCCACTGGCCTCTCAGAATCCCTTCCCCATCATTGCAAATATTTAGATAGACTCCAGCGGCACCCCCCACCCCCCCTCCTCGAGTAAATAAGAAGAGGTAACGTATGAGGACAAGAAATTCCCGTAAAATAGAGGATACCGCAGTCACAGATTGGCCATCTAATTTATTCACTCTGAGCTTCAGTTTTAAATAATAAATACAAAAGCAAAAAATGGATTGAGCAAAAATTCGACCCTTGCCAAAATGATGCATCAACGTCTCTTGGTCAACGTTCCAACGTCAATGTCAACGTCGGGGAGATCGGACAGATTTCAGTTTTTCATTAGTCGTTACCGTCAAACAGGCTCTCCCTAATTAACGCTGCAACACACGCGTTCCTCCGCACGGGGGAAGATTTGAGACGAGTCGGGCAGAGGTTTGCCAGAGGTCTGGCACTAAACTTCTTGAATACCTCTCGCTGACTCGCGTTGCTAAACTGAGGCCTCGTACTTCCTTGAGGGCGAAGAAATGGTCCTACCAAAGCGCAAACAACAATGGCCTGCTCGCTTGCCACATAAGTGGAAAATTTTTCGGAAAAAAATTGTTTATTTACTTGCATTTTTCTTTCTTCATTCTTACGAAATCGCTAAAAAAGGAACACTATATATTCTTCTATTAAAAAATGGTGTAGCACCAACAAAGCAAGTTCTAACATTAACGAATTGTTTAGTTATATTCTTGTCAATAAAATGACTTAAGCGTGAAAAATAAACCACTTGTATCTACACTTCTAAGACAATAGCAAGTGTAAACGTGCGCTGTTAATCAGGAGAAAGGGCGTCTGTTGGTTCATAAAACAGGAACGATCCCGTCACGCCTTGCTCCTCGTCGCGTTCTTCATCTTGAGTGAACAATGAGGCGAGGTCACTAAGCGTCAGACTGGCATTCTCACTGTCACGTGCTCCAGTCCTGTTGAGCAGGATAGAATCACGTGTCATAACTTTCATTACAGTTTCAGGGAAGCCTGGGTACGAGGGTTTGTTCAGAATGTGCGCGTTTCTGTGTTCCATGCATTTCTCAGCTAAGAAAGTCGAGTTTACGCCCACTTGTCAATATGCCTGCATCATGACACTTCATAGAAGGTAAGTTTTCTCTTAAAGACTCCAAACTTTGCTTACTTACTGCAACACTTTACTTTTGAAAAGTCTAAGCCCATAAATGTACGCCATGTTCTTCAAGTTGACGTGAAAAAGAATAACAACAATGAACGAATGAAATTCTGCATTGGAAAACGCTGCAGGAGAAGAAAATACCGAGAGTAACTGGTACCTAACACAACTCGTTGGCTTAGACTGCAGCAAGGAGTACATCCGGGACTCGACAGTGCCTTGTATGATAAAGCGGTACACGTGGGTGGGTCTGTAAAAAAAATCAACAATAAAATTCCATGGCAAATTACGTTAACTCATCACATAGCGCTCAGCACTCAAGCCAAAGGCTAACACTGCTAGCGCTTATCCCTGTTTCTGTGACATGAAGGGAGAGGGAGGCGTTCATAATGCCCGGCCATGACTCCACCCCACACCTCTCAATCCGGAGTCCAGCACGCTAACTGTAAAGCCCCTACGTCTCCCTCGCCTGACATATAAAGAAGTTAAATTCTACTAAATAAAAATCGGGGGTGAAATCTCGCTATACATTTATAAAAATTGTTTGCTCATCCATAAGGAACTCATAACAAGATGTTTTTACTTCGTCCAAGGACATCTTCTCACAAATAACACAAAAATGAATGTACAGGAAGCAGTAAGGAGTCTAACAACATACTTAGTTTGTCCAATTCTGTGCACACGCCCCACAGCCTGTAGCTCATGGGCGGGGTTCATCGCAGGCTCTACTAACAACACGTGTGTCGCCTCGATGATATTGAGACCATTAGATCCGGTTTGTAGAGGCAGGAGAAGAACGCCTACCGAGGAATCCTGTTTGAACGTCTGAAGGTTTGACTGAAAAGAATAAAACTGGTATTACTAAAACTACAAAGAGTGGGGAAAAGTGGTTGGCACGCTTCTTTTTAGTAAGTGATCGTCAACCCTCCAACATTGTAAGCTAACATTATAAACTGAAATGTTGTAATTTATCTGTGATAAGGTACTTGAAAGTTCCTCCTCTCCCTCCTCTTGCCCCAAACAGTATTCTACTGAATAAGAGACTATTCTATCAACACCACACAACAGTGCAATAAAGGAGAGGGAAAGATTAATGAAAGTTATATGAAAAGAAATTCAAAAAGTAGTGAAGTGCGCCAAGACTTTTGCCTCTCGTTGTAGCTTTGAAATCCTTCGAAGTCATAAAATATCACGATCCTCCGTGAACTTTTCCGAGACCTTGTTCACCTTAACCATGAAGTCTGGTCGAGAAATTATACTCATATTAATTCGCTGTTCTCAAGAGTATCATTTTCACTCATTTTCCATGACTTTCCATGACAAGACCAGGACTGAGACAGGCGAGGGCCTCGCACAACTTTTATGAGCTTTTTTGCGCATACTCAAAAGGGCTCTGCTCCCAACCACGCCTTAAAAAGCATACATTTGTGATTGGTCAATAAAAACGTTCCAAATTTTCAACCACTCATATGCAAAGCTCAAACAAATCACGACTTGGTCACCCGCGTTTTCCCGCGCTTTACGTAGATACCTTGTTTTAACTTTCCGTTCTCATTGGCTCTTTTTGATATTTTCCCTAACTCTGATTGGCTGTCGTGATAACTTTAGCTTTGGTCTTTAAACACTCGATCAAGACTCCCTCTACTTCACAGATACTGTAAAAAGCTTGTCAAAAATAGACTGCACATTATAAAGTATGACCTTCGGCAATCAGCAGAGACCTTACAGCTTTTCGTACCAACCTGAAAAAGTCGGCTGCCAGTAATGTGTTTATATTTGATTCCATTCTCGTCCAAAGCTTGGGCTAAAACACTAAGTACCTCTTGCCACTAAGGGAAAACAAAACAAAGTTGAAATTCACAGAATCAACACAGAATGTGAAAGTTAACAGTGTTCCTAACACAACCTGTACGTAGCCTTGGAGCAGGCCCTCATAATTGGCGCTGCAGGGCGCGCGTTTTTTCGCCCGCAGCGAGAATTTAGACGAGTCAGGGAGAGGTTTGCCGAGAGTATGGCACTAATTATGTCAGTGCCAGACCACTGGCAGACTTCTCACCGGCTCGCGTCGCTCAAGGCGACAACTTTCGCGAGGGCGAAGAAACGTTTGTCTTGGCCCCAGTCTACGAGCGCTGCTCAGTAACAATTGAAATCGTTCGGGGAGTTTCTATTAGGGCTAAAAGTAATACAGTGTCAAAAACTTACCGTAGAAAACACAAGACTCTTTGCCGTATTGTCTGCCGACTTAATAGCCAACAATGTGCGCACAACAGCTTCAACTTTTGTAGAATGGCTTCCCTAAAGGAGCAAAAAGGACTCAAAGTTTGAGACTAACTGGATGAGCAATTTCCAATTGATGGTAGGAAGTAATCCGGGAGTTTGCTTTACTTGCTCTGTGATTGGCCCAGAAAACTTGCGCCACTCCCTCAGCCAATCAGATGTAAGGCTCAAACCAGCCAGGACGGGGTCACCCGCGTTTTCCCGCGCTTTGGGCGGTTTGGGTATTGATTTTTTTACTTTGAATTCTAATTAGCTCTTAAAGGTAGTATTCTTTCTTCTGGTTGACTGTTGAAATAACTTTGGTTAAGGTGTTAGGCCTCTCAATCGAAAAGCGCTCTAACCCATTACAAAATAGAGAGCCGAAACTTATCCGTGATTGCTTCGGTTTTTCTTTTCTTTGCTTTGGTTGGTCCAGAAAATTCGCGCCACTTCCTCAAACAGTCAAATCAAAATTAAGAGCAACCGTGACTTGGTCAACGACGTTTTCCCGCGCTTCAAGCAGTTTTCTTGATTCAACTTTGAGCTCTCTTTGGCTGCTCGTGACAATTTATTTATTGTGATTGGCGCAGAGCTATTGGCATTACGAAGGTAAATCGAAGAGCAATTTAAGTTGTGTTTCAATTTTTTGAGACGATAGAGCCATGTTGATCTGATAAATCACTCATTTCTTAGCACTTGTTCTGAAAGAAAGCGATGACAATTACAGATGAGAATTAGTTTTTTTTAATATCTAAACAATGAAGCTCAAACCACCTTGACAGTGACATTCTCCTCTGTATCTTTGTCCTGATTCCTTCCGGTGCTGACGTAGGAAATTTCTTGCGCAAGAGTAGGTATCCGGCACATCGGACATTTCACGTGTACGTTCCTATGTCGGGGACCAATTCCAGCCTGCCGCAAGAGTACCCAGGAGCACCGACAGCAAATGCAATGTCCACATGAGAAAACGCTCCACTGAAAGAACAAAAACAAACAGAAAGTCCTAAATAAGTCGAAAAGGACCATGAGGAGAAGGGTCGTTTTTAGTTACTTGCCTGGACTCCTAGCAGTTTGGTGCAAACTGGACATGGTTCCGGGTTCTTTCCGTCATGACTGGTTTGGGTCTGAAAATAGAGCAAATA